CGATGATATTGTTTCTTATTTATTACCGCAGCAGCGCCCCGAAGCAACACCGAAGCCTTATGATACGCGCATGAGACCAATTTGGCCCATCGCCCCGATAGCCACAGTCTCGCGTCGACTACAAGCCGCCGTGGAGAAAGCCACGTTCAGATCTTTGAAGATTACCAGCGACGAATTTCCGAAGTTCATTGAGCTTCTCACTCCGGCTAGGCGATACCATCTGACCAGCTTGATCGTCACCATCACTCTTCCGCCTTACGATGACGCTGCATCCCACAGAGCGGAATCGCCCGAAGAACGGCTTGTCAATGACAAGTGCTACAGCAATGGCATAAGAACACTGTTCCAAATTCTTCGAGGTTGGGAAGATGAAGATGCCAAGACAATCAGCTGTCCCCTTGCGTTATTTATCAACCACCCAGAATCGCCTTCTGATACGCCATGGCCGACCAAGTATGTTCCTTGGGGTGAGATGTATCCCGAGGAGGACGGGATTTACGAGGGCCGGTTCTTGCATTCTTTCATTGAACTGAGAGAATGTCAACTACTCCCGGATCTGGCGAGGATCAAACAGCTCACAATGATTCAACCAGAGGAGAGGTATGGCTACCGGAACACCTACCCCAAGGTGCCTATCCTACTTGCCTCAAAGATGCCAAATTTGGAACGCTTCAAGCTATTCATGAATGACGATGAAAAGAGATTCGACGAAATACGAATCAACAACCGGAACGAAGCGGCGCAGGCTATTCGAGAGCTGTCACTGCCGTTACTGAGGAAAGCCGAATTTGAGTTCTTTCAGAGACGATATCGAAACGAGAGAGCAATGCCGCCAGCGTTGCATGAGCTCGGAGCCCCAGACCCGTTGAGCTCTGCTATCTGCGCATTTTCACAAAATCTCGTAGATCTGAGTGTCACCGGCTCCTTTGACGACTCCCTCCTCAGACCTATGCAGGGCCTGAGCAAGACATCATGGCCCAACCTCAGATTTCTCGACGTTAACATGCACGCCACTTCCCCTTCAGGAACTTGGTACTTCAAAAAGGCAGACGGAAGCCCTGATCACCGGCCCTACACCCATAGCTCCAACACAAACAACGCCCACTCAGATCTGCACAACGAAGAGTTCAGCTTCGTAGAGGAAGCCGCCTACGCGCGTATGACTCCGGTAGAAGTCTTCCGCTGCAAACCTGACGACGCCTACATCGTGCCTTTCATCGATGCGTACGCCAACGCATTGAAGGTAATGCCTACGCTTACCTCCGCGGCGCTGAACTTCCAGCTCGAGTATGAGGCCGAGGAAGATGAACCCAGCTGGATGTGTATTGCGTACTTTGCGCCCTGTCGCACGGCGCCAAAGCACCCGCCAAGATTGTTGTGCCCGAAATGCAACAGAGGCGTGACACGCCAGCTGGTGAAGTTGTACCTAGACTGGGAGCCAAGCGAGGAGCTGGCGGCTAAGCTGCGTGCGATTGGAGACGAGGTTTACGAGGCGCCGATGGTGGAGAAGACCATGGCCCAGTTTATGGATCAGCATGAGTGGGTTAATAACGAAGAGTCTTGATAACGGAAAGAAGTTCCTTCCTTGACTCGCAAGCAAAAGGACTATATGTCCTGGACAATAGCTACTGCCTAGAGGTGATTAGCGCAGCTTCATGGGCCATTGCAAGAACCCCTTAGTCTCCATATAGCAGATGAATGCATCGTATCATCTTCTACTACGTTTATTGCCGTAATGGCTATCGGTTGGTTGAGACCTCAGACCGGATCTCATATATAGATGCGTCCCTCGAGCGTTTAAGGTAGGTGCAGAGTAAGACCCCAACTCATACTTAGGCACGTCATGTCTAATGACAACCCGTGACTGAGTTGATGCAGGTATATTCAACCCTCCTGATGATTCTTAACAGCATTATGACTTCAAGGAATGAAAAGTCTTGCGACAGTAGATTACATGACCTGCAAGCAGGAGCTAGGCGACAGACCAAAACTTCAAAGAATCGAACACGATCACTTCGAGGCGCCATGTCCTTTGTAAGTCAGTTGCCCCAGGCTCCAACCTCACTTCCTTTCTCCATGACCTTGGGTCCTCGTACTTACATCAGAAAAGACGCACTCGTTCACAAAGGAGCACTTGAAGTCCCTGCAGAGTCTCAACGGCCGATGTGAGCAAATGCAATCCATAGATAATGACCCATTGGCAGATTTTACTCCAATCATCTGACTGCGCTTAATGCCTCGGAAAAGTCAGTCTATCAAAGAGGTAAGAAGAAAAGCTTCACGGATGATTAAACATGGGGTGTCTGTGGAGATGGCCCGACATAGAGCCAAGGCCCAAAACAAAAGCGCGCAATAGCAAGTAAGCATATCTGATACATAGGCAAGGAACTGGTGCTATTTTGCCTTCCCTTGTTTGCTGCTCTCTTCAGAGACACGAGTTCAAGTCATGTTATAGGGTGCACTATACTCGAGACAAAGATGGGACGGTCAAAAAACTGGAGAATCTGGCCCTTCTAAACGGCAGTCTGTGCCTGCTGTGGAGGATGAGGTTCCTTTGGGTGTCGTGTACCAAACAATTTTGAGAGCATAATATAATCACCCAAATTACTCGCCTATGAGATGAACGACATCTCACTCTGTTCAAGTAGAAACCAATTTGCGGTAGACTCTCGGCAACATTATCGACGCGATGCTTAGTTTTGGTGACTTGATCCCACGTGAGGCTTCCATCACTGTCAAGAAGGGCAGCACAACTTCCATTCATGCGGGTTATTCGGCCCAATCGCCTTGTTACCGAGTATCTTCATAGAATATGTTTTAATTCCAGCCTGAATTGATATTTTCTATGCCGAGAGACCGGTAGGCGCAGCCATATGTCTCGCAATGCGTTGAATTCCCACGCTTCATGAGCTCTTCCAAATACCAGTTTCATCAAGGTGGATACACAAAAAATTGGAAGTTAGTTTCGAACATCATCAAGAAGCCACTTTTTTTTGCAAAAGACAAATCAGTTGAGCTTCCTCGAAGTATCTACAAGGTGGGTGTGTGGCTTAGAGGTTTAAGGTTTGTAAGACGCGATCCCTGGCGTAGATCGGACTTGGATCTTGTCGTGGGTGCCTACCTCACCTCCAGCGCCGAAACAGCCTCTAGTTCGTCTGGTCGATAGGAAAGAGTGGGTCTGTGTGAGGTTGTACCCAGTCATAGCCGTCACAGAGCACGTCGAGATTTCCCAGAAGGGCAGAGGGAGTTATTGGAGCAAGGGGCTTGTATGGCCAATGGTTATACATATTTACACTTGTCTTGGAGATTTCCAACTTCAACACCGGATACTAGAATAGAGTTAACAGGAAATAAGTCTGAAGCAGCGTTTTTGACTCTAAGAAAACAAAATACGCCTTTACGAAAGGTCGGTGAGAAACGACTCAGGAGTGAGCCTGGAAAAACTAAGCCATCTAGGCTCTCGCGATAGTGAAGAAGTACTCCATGGTGGAATCGATATCGAAGCTGAAATCAACGCTCTGCTCTCGGACACTCGTAGTGCCGTCACGAGCACAACCCTCAGTGCCTCCACGTCTCCAGCTGAAGGTCCATCGGAATTCTTCGCCAAGGATGTGGAAAAGCGGATTGAATCGGAGGCGGACGCGTCCACGGAATTGGCCGAGGTTGTCGGTGGCCCATGCTTGGAATTAGACATGACGATTGCCTGTTGCCTGTTCCCAATTGGTTGGAGCTACGTCCCTAGCAGCCTCAATGTTGAGGAAGCGGGACAAGTTGTCGGTTCTGACAGGGGGAGGCGGATTGTAGCCTTTGAAGCAGATATCGAAAATGGAAGCCCGCTTGTCGATGAGTTCAGGTTGTCGACTTCATCTGCGACGGTGACAGCCGTGTTGGCGACCTCCATCTTGACCAAAGGTCTGTCGGCAGGAAAAGCAAAGGCGCCAATTATGTAGCCAGTGGCGGCAAAGACAACTGCAAGAGATTGATGATGAACTTTTGTAAAGAGTGGACGAACAAGTCTAGTTCTGAAGTTCTGAATGTAAGAATCAAGGGAAAGGGTTTTCAAGGCAGCATGTATGTTTAGCTCGCTCTTCTGTTGGACTGGCAGTGGAAGGTCATCTTTTAGCTATGACTATGCAAACTAGACGTCCGACATCTTAGGCATCCCGTGTGTATTAACAAACTGTTCTTTTGAAAGTTCATCTACCAAGGCTTATCATCGATTAAAAGCTTAACTTCTCACATTCAAAGGCTTCCCCTTCGGCAGTCCAAGACTAAGTACTGCAGCCCTTGTCTTTTGAAAGGCATGACTGGAATTGAGCCTCGTATTAATCTAAATATCGATAGACTCAAGTCTAATCCTATTGTCTCTGCAGGGCTGTAGTCTTTCAAGACCGTCGAAATCGAGATTATATATCACCACACCATACCGAACTCACCTTGACTCACCCGGCCAGACGGAGTATTCCGTACTTGGGGAAACCGACCTCAGACCTACTCTACCTACTTCCTGCGCGGACCATTATATTGCCTTCCTGCTCGGATTGTCGTATTCCCGACTCGAATCTAGCCTAATGTCGAACCCTCACCCATTCTCAACGCACCATCATTTCTGAAGTCACGGAGTCAGTTTTCTCAAAGGATAGTCGGATGACCTGCATCCTCGTTGAATCCAGTAATCATAACGGCCAGTCCACATTTACTCAGTTCCTCAGATGAACAAATTTCCTGTGTTCAATGTCCTCTATCTATTATAGTTCAGTTACCTTAGTCCGTGTCCTTCTCATCCTTTTGACTTGGCAGATAAATGTCGGAACTCGCGGAGGCTCCTTCCTATTCATCTTAGCGAAGGGGGATTGATGCATCACCGGCCTGCTTTTCTAAACCTTCAATAAGAGTAATTTGAGTAAAGTTGGGGACAAACAGTAGTAGACAAGATGATCTAGGAGAGGCGGCCTAAAGACGGAAACCCAACGACATGACGCATTTTTATGAACTGAAAAATGATTTGTGAGATTGAAGTAAGATACAGACGCAGCGAAGGGCCGGCGGCAATCCTTCGTGCAGATATATGTAAGGCCAACCGATTTCTCCCTCTGCTAACCATCTCGCCACTTTAGACATTTGAAACTCGCAACCATTCCCTAGCATTACAATACTCGAGTTCTGAAGACGAAGTTCCTTACTCACGTACTTGCTATCTTTGGCGCTTTAGTGTAAGCTCACTACCTTGGGCCCTTCTCAGAAGTTAACGTCCCTATCCAGTTCTTTCGCTTCGGCCGATCTTCACACTTACTGCGCTTGTCAAGGTGGTACTGGTCTCCCCATCCATGTCTACGCAACTCAACGTGTACATGATCAAAACCAGGAGGTTTTGAAGTGGGGTACGTTCACCTTATACCGTTCCCGTCTTAATTTGTGGCTGATCAATCTTAGGCCAAGATGCCCCTGGTATATGGCTCGGGCACGCGTCGGGGCTAGGTCCTCGCTTCGGTGGTTCTTTCGTCGAACGCAAGGTCGGCAGAATCGACGGCAAATGGATGTATAATCAAGGCCGTCTCTACGGTGGCTTGGATTCCACTTGCTTTGAGTGCTCGCGGGTTCAGATGAACGGCAAGGATAAGATTTGCACCCAGAGCTAAATTGAATCTTTTCGTTGGGATATGGTTAACTATCGAGATCCATTGTAGGTAGAAACAACGGACTGAGTGGGGCAGAGATGTTGTGGGGATGGACAAGTCGATAGATCTTTGGATGGAAATCTACTAAAGTATCTTAAGAAGAAGCATTGTTTCACGCTCTGAACTACTAACCTCCTGACTGCTAGCCTACGAAGTAATGCAATAGAGAATCTCAATATTATTAGACTTATTGTTGCTACGAGCAGTCTGCCATTGTCTTGCCGAAAGCTGCCTTGGCTCTCTGCAAAGCCTGCACAAAGTGTGTCTTTTTCCGAAGAGAGATTGTTATTACAGTTCGACCTTACCGTTGTGGTTTCCTTCTCTGGCGTAACAGGCGCAAAAAAAAAATGAACTTAACGGGATCAGGCTTTCTATGAAGATAACACGATACGGTACAAATTTCTAATTACACGGTACGCGCAACATGCGCCAGGAACACGCTGAACTCAACATAGTATTTCCGATACGAAAGTCGCCATGCAACTTGGGATATTACCACGTGCTATAAATCGTGACATTTCTTCCGCAAATCATCTAGTCTGCAGGGTGGCAGTGTCGTGCGTCAGAACAGATGCAGAACTTCTCGGAACTTCTAGAAGAAATGGAATTTCTCATTTGGCGGTTAGACGCCGGGGTCATTTCAAGTGGCTCTTCCTCACCTCTTGAAGCAGGGAGATCCGAGATCAGTTTGGTACCATCAATTGCTGGAAACAAGCATGACCTCCTTGCAAAGCAGTAAATTCACAGCACGCAAACCGGAAACCTCAGCATCCTATGCGCTAAAAAAGCTTGGGCTGGACTAAGGAGTTGGGCTCCGTTCATCCCGTCCCGGAACCTGACTCGAGAATGAGCGATACTCGCAGAACATCTCTGAGGTTGTCTGTGGTTGCGATGATAGAGTTCGACAAGATGCGAGAGACCGTCTGGGAACTGGTGTGGACGCCGTCTCAAGTTGCTGGGTCCGTCTGTCCCATCCTAGGCAGCTCTCCCCTGCCGACTTTGAAGCACTGCAGAACCAGTGCTTCGATTGACTTGAGGTCAGCGACTGTGAGCTGGAACCTGACTCAACTGTCGGCCGCAGCACTGTCGAAGCACTGGGCTGCCGTTTCAGCGTGTCTTCTCTTCGCTACTACGACGCGCATCTCTCTAAAATCCCCCCATATTTTTAGCTTTTGGCTACTGTCTTCGGCGTTCGCGGGCGGCCTTTGTATGGAACCCCCTCACCCCTCCGCGACGTTGAAGCAAACGCTCCCGCGCTTCGCAAACCAACTCCTGCCCGCCGACTTCCGCCCATACCGAATCGATGGGACACATCGTAGGGCGGGCGGCAGGGCTTAGTGTCCATTAAGCAGGTTACATTGAGGTGGATCTGGCAGCATGCCGGGGTGAGCAGTTCAACCTCGAACTCCCGTCCTCTGGCCAATCGCATCCAACCTTGCATACTGGCGGACCTGGCTCCAAGCAGTCCGGCAACTTTCAGAGAGGGTGGCATACCTTGGAGGAACGGTATTGCCTCTGATATAAAGTTGACTTGACAGACGAGGGGAGGGGATCGTCTCAGTTCTTCCAAGGGCCAAGCCATTCTTTTTCTGACCACAGTCTCCCTGTTCCAACATTCAGACCAGACGCTCTTTCAGTCACCATATATCCCCGCGGCATCCCACACCTCAAAGACCAAGGTTCTTGCGCTTGCCGTCGAACCTGCCACTCCTTCAGTCGACGAACAGTCTGTCAAAGCTCTATCAACTACTCAACTATATCTCTCCTTCTATACGTCGACTTCAGTCACCAACAAAGCATCCACGCAATGCGCTCTTCAATCCTTTACCTCGCCCTGGCCGGCGTCGCCAGCATCGCGCAAGCCAACCCAATCATCAAACCAGACGCCCAAGTCGACCCCAAAGGCCTCATCACTCGCAGCCTCTCCCACCTCCTCTTCTCCCGCTCCGAACCAACACGCTCCGAGCCGCCCCCAACTAGGAGACAAGCAACGCCGCCTCCCCCTCTGACAAGCAACCCGGCCGCCGCCCCGCCCGGCGGCGGCGGCGCAGTCAACAACGCCAACCGCACCGTCACTCTGACCGTGATCCAAGGCGACACCCTCGGCCAGATCGCGCGCCTCCTCAACTCGGGCATTTGCAACATCGCCAAGCTCAACAACATCCCCAACCCAGATTTCATCGAGATCGGACAGGTCCTGCAGGTGCCCATCAACGTCGCCAACCCGGACAACGACTCGTGCCTCAACCGCGGCGGCGCGATCCCGGCCCCGGGACAGAATGCTACTGCTCCTGGTACGCCTCCGGCGGGTGGCAAGGGGAAGGGGAAGGGGAAGAAGGTTAAGCGAAGCGAGGCCCTGTTTTCTGAGAAGAGCCCCCGGGCGCCTTTGCACTAATCCGTTCCGCAAGTGGGATTTGGCCGAATCAGGAAAACATTCGCCGGGAGGGCTTACTAACTTGGAAGACGAGGTTTCGGGGTGCGCACCGTGGCTGGATGACACGAGACTTTGGCAGATGGCAGCGGGTCTAGCCTTGGAGTTTTGGCATTATGGCATATTTCAGGTGCGAGATGTGTTTTTGCGTTGTTACTCATTTTTATAATATACCTGGCTGGAACAGTCTGTTCGAACATTGAAAATTGTCCACCAACAAAGTTTCCGTTGCAACTCTGGGTGACAACTTGAACTACTAGGAAACATTGGCGAGAGACGGCGCTCTTGTGTTTTCTTGGGATCATGTGACGTCATGCGCCGAGAGTTGCTCATGAGTCAGCAAAGGGGAAGAGTCTAATATCCATCGCCAAGATCTGCGTCAATTTCCGAACTGCGACTATTTTCAACAACAATCTCGCGCTGATATTGAGCGGTCAATTGATAAAGGACGACGAAATCCAGCTGCCATACGTGATATGGCTGTTCTCCAAGACCCAACGTCTCTGTTCCTCTCAAGATATCGCTGATCAAACCACGCAGAGCTATGGCAGTAACAGCATCCTCGCTGGCCTATCATGAGCCATCCATCACCACCATCGCCATCCTCTCCGGCTTCCTCCTGCTCCTCGATTCCGTAAATTACGCTCTCGACAAGCTCGTCTACTGTGGTCTCATTGGTCAGGTATTCCTCGGTATCGCATGGGGAACGCCAGGAGCAAAATGGCTCTCCGAAGAGATGGAGCACTCGATGGTGCAATTGGGATATCTCGGCTTGATTCTGATTGTCTATGAAGGTAAGGTTCATCTTTTGCAATACCCCAGCACTATGATACTCATGATTTGTTCACAGGAGGTCTCTCCACGTCTTTCAAGTCCCTCAAAGCCAATCTTCTACTCTCAATTGGCGTCGCCGTCACCGGCATCGCTGTCCCCATGGGACTCTCCTTCACCCTGAGCTCTTTGATCGGCGCCACACCGCTACAGGCCTTCGCCGCAGGAGCCGCGCTCTGCTCGACCAGTCTCGGGACAACATTTACGGTTCTAGGCACGAGCGGCCTCACTACCACCCGCATGGGAGTCGTGTTGACTAGCGCTGCCATGATGGATGACGTCGTCGGCCTCATCATGGTTCAGGTCGTGTCCAACCTCGGTGGTGGCGGCGGCAGCGATTTCAACGCCGTGACGGTGGTCCGACCGATTCTCGTCTCGTTGGGTTTCGCGACCGTTGTACCGGCGGTGTGCAAGCTCGTCGTGGGCCCAATCACATTGCGCCTGAATATGATAAGAGAGAAGAACCCTGGGTCCAAGATTGACCAGCTTCTTCGTATGCGTCAGACTGCTCTCATCATTCATACGTGCTGGTTATTTGGGCTCATTATGGGAGGGGCCTTCGCTGGGACGTCGACGTTGCTAGCGGCATATGTCGCGGGCGCCACCATCAGTTGGTGGGACAGCGAGGTGCCTCATCCCATATCTCGCGGAAAGGGAAAGCAAAAAGCATCCATAGTTCAAGGCGGATCTGCTGCAGACAACCAGGAAGCTCTCTCTGCAAATAACACAGGGCAGTCGAGCTCCGAGATCCCACCTGCAGCTACTCTGATGCCAAGCAATGGCGAATCGGATACCTACAACACAGGCATTGAGATCTACGAACATTACTACAGCAAGGCCGTTGATCACGTGCTGAAGCCTTTCTTCTTCGTAAGTCCCCATGGTGAATATCCTTATATTGATATCAGATGCTAATCCCCACAGGCATCCATCGGCTTCTCCGTACCGATAACGAGGATGTTTACCGGTCCCATTGTTTGGCGTGGAATAGTCTACACCATCCTGATGATGGCTGGCAAACTAATGTGTGGTGTTTGGCTGCTGTCTTTTGCCAGTCCGTTGCACACCGTGCAGCGGATCACCAAAAAGGTATCCGGTGTAGGGAAGCAGAAGTCGAAGAAACTCGCACCCGGAACACAATGTGCCGGGACAGCATCGGATTCGGGAGCAAACAACAGTCAGACTTCTCCGCCAAAGCAGCCGCAGCAGGACCAGGAGCCGCGGCAGGGTGCGCAAGATGGTCAAACGGAAGAGGTGCCGCCTCAGCCGCTCGACTCGCGACAAACCGGAAAAACTCCGAAAAATGCTTCTCCCAAGCCGGAGATGCCGGTTTCCGTGTATCCGGCCTGTATCCTCGCCTTCGCGATGGTCGCTCGTGGTGAGATTGGCTACTTGATCTCTGCACTAGCCGAAAGCACCGGCATCTTCAGCGGCGGGTCAGGCGCACCCGATCAGCCTTCGGAGATGTTCTTGATCGTGACGTGGGCCATCACTTTGTGCACAATCATAGGACCTATTTGCGTTGGTCTGCTTGTAAATCGGGTAAAGCGGCTTGAGGCGCTCAGCGGCAAAGGCACGAATGGAGGTGGACGGAACGTTCTTGGTGCCTGGGGTGTGGAGTAGACGGCAAGAGAGACCTTTCAGCGAGCGATAGACAAGCAATTCCCGCGTTCTTCTTGAAGCTGCCTCCATGTCGGCATACCCCCATCTTGATGCAGTAGATATGTCGGGCTCATCTGTAGCCCAAGTCAGTAGCGTCTGAAACCGGTACCAAGACTTTAACATCCTTGACGTTCATGTACGTATCAGTCGGAATCATGTGTATAGATCGAGCGTGTTCCTCCCGAGTCATGAGCCGTCGACTGCGACTCCTTGCAAGCCCGACTGCTCCCACCACTGCTTCAGCCCGTCCACGTCACACCAGTCAAACTGTCTTGGCTCCTCAAACCACCACCTACTACCGGGTTTGGGCTTGTCGCTGACGTATTTCTTGAGGCAGCCACCATCAAATCGGTGATTCTTGACACCGACGAGGAGTACAACGCTCCCAATCTTGGGGGTGAAGGCCTCGGCGTCGAGGAAAACGGTCAAGATGACTTGCTTGCTGCTGCTCGGGTCGACGAGTCGAGCAGTCCGTTGCGTGTGATGCGGTGGCATGTGGGACGGCTCGATTTCGGATAGTGAGGCGACGACTGCAAGAACGTTGACAGACCAATTTTGTTTGTAGGGCAAGTTCGGGATGGATCGTAAAGAGGTCAGCTTTAGGGGCGTGTTCGGATCTGTCCAGTCGCGCGGCAAAGCCACGGGACCTCCCTTCTTGGCCTGCACCCTACGTTGAGTTGCTTTTGTCTCCGATACTTGCATAACCTCGAAACCATCTTCGTCTTCATCGTCAGCCTCCGCGATTACCCCGGCTGCTCCAATCGAACGCACGTGTTGCGGTCTCGGGCGTTGTGTCGATGTAGGTATCGAGATCGGTCTTGCTTGTCGTGCCTTTGTCGGAGTTGCGACAGATTCCACATCGCTATCGAAGACGATCTCGTCCTCAACTTCATGTTCTGGGGATATGGCGTCGGGTTCCGTAAGAGCTCTATGCCATCCAACTGTGACTAGATCATGGACGACCAAGTATACCATCTGGCGTGTCCCTCCAGAGCGACCGTCATGCCCGACGAGATCCTGTAGACGAATGGAGAATTCCCCCAAGCGGACGTAGCAGCCGACGCGGACAGCTCTGGTGTCCAGGAAACGATGCATTTCCCCCCGGAGAAGAGCTTGTATACAGAGCTCACCGTCCCCCAGCATTAGTCGTATAGCCCTCCATCGCTTCAACCGTGGCACCGGGAGCGACTCGACGTCTTCAACAAGAAAGATGGAACCAGGGATGCAGTAGCGGGTGCGCAGCAGGTCGTTGATCAAGGGTTTCGGAACAAATGGTTCGGCGTCATTGGCAAATGCTACCTCGGCTGGGCTCGCCGACTTTTCGGGCGTGTTGGGGGACATGTGGACGCGTTCATCGTTTCGCGGCGACGCGGCGTGGGAGCTGAGGCCGTGGGCGTCAAGTGGTGATGTTTCTGTCAGATTCCTTCGCCAGTGGGGAGATGGCGCAAGGCCACTGACAGGGCCGCGGCGTGGCGGGCATGCCCACTGAAGATTCGCTAATGCAAGTCATTACGTAGCTTTGGGCGACAGCTAGGGATCATCCCGGCCCGGCCTGACAGGCCGATCCTACCCTCAGCCATGCATTCGCATTTCCTTCTATTAGCATTCACGATCGACTTTACTCGCATAGTAAATTCGGACTTGTTCTTTTAACTCAACCTTCAGGTATGTGATGATCACCGACTAAAAAACTTTTGATTGATTCGGGTCATAGAAGTTTTCGACTAGTTCACAGGGGTGCTTTTTCATTCAGTCTCATCCCCTTTCCTATCTTCCGTGTAAGATCCATCAATGATTTCACTCAACCACCTCATGCTCAGTTATCGCATCTCAGGGAGCTGCTGCAGACCGCACTATCTCTAACGAGCTATGTTAAAAGTTACGTTATAAACCCTTGAACCTTTTTGTGGTCATCTTCAATTAAGTTCATGACGTCCTACTCTTACGGTGAATGTAGTGCTTCAGACATGAAATGACACAGGGCCTCATACTTACTTAATGTCATTACTAGGCTAGATAAGTTTACATAAGATATCACGTCTATGATCCGAACTTCGACAACGTCAGACATATTCGTCTTTATCAGCGCGTCTTTACAATCGACGAACGTCACTTTAGTCATGAGCGGCGAGGTTGTCAATCCTGTGCTTAATCTCATGACGGCTGGTATTATATCAAGACCTCCATCCATCTATTCCGGAAGAATGATCAACCAGCCGAAGCCCTAATCTTCATACGTCGGCCTTATAAGTCTGGGTAGCAATCTCAGAAACAGTTGCCAAAGAGACTCATTCATTATAGGCTAGAGCTCTTCTCAGGGTCTGGGAAAAGATACTTTACGAGAACACATCCCATAGATAGAACGAGCAAGACTCTAGATCACCCAGATGAGCGCTTGCCAAGCCGTAGTTACTGACTGCGATTGATGAGAAACAGATTGGTCGGCATCAGTGATGCACTAGCAGTATTACCGCTTGTTTGCATAAGATACATTGTTCCTGAAGCTCATTAAGGAAAGTCTAACGCGGCTACGGAAGATGATGAGTTCAGATTACGACACATCAATGCAGGCCCGATTCCAGCTCAGGAAACCCGGGAATAACAGCGTCAAAGGATCAGCAAAAAGAACAATCAAGGCCACGTAGGCAGCCGGTAATTCAATGGTCAAGAGAGTACTTGTGGCGATACTCGCATTATGACCGTAGGAGATGTGGCCCAGGAGGAAGAATGTATCATGACCTCATTTCGCCCCGTCATTGAGCCTTCGTGGTTCTGGCGTGGGAGTCAAATAATCGTTGTGGTAGAACTTCAGACTCTTGGAGATCGAATTCGAAGACAGCTGGGTGTGAAAAGGAGTATTCCGTCTTAGGTAAGCGCGCGGGAATGGGCGTCCCAAGGAGTAGCCCGTTGTACTGATAAGCAGGGGATGGGTGATGTAAATTGAGAAAGAAATGACTGCATGTGATGCATATGAAGTTTTTGACCGTGTTTAACGACTAGGGGCCACTCTCAATGATGGGCGAATGCGAACTACGAAGTCACACCAAGCAATCTGTGGCCAGTTCAGCTATACGAAAGCGATGCTGGGATATCCACAAAGTTTGCTTATTTATGCTTGATACTGGGAGGATCTACGCTCAATCGAGGATCGACATTCTCCGTGGACAGCCCGGTATTAGGGCCCGCCTTAAAAACTTCTTTGACGCCGCTAAGAGGAGCAAGCGGAGGAAGCGGTTTCCTTCCAGCTCCGTACCGAAGGCTACGGCTGTCGCGTTCGACTTGGGCACAGCAGACTCGGAGCTTGGCCCCGAATCTGAACTTGAATGTAGTAACGTAATGATGCGCGACGAACTGTAGATTCTGTCACTGGAAATGAAATCGTCTATGTGTAAAACAACATGCGCGCGAACAACCGAAATGAGAACGATAGTGCTGCTCACCTTTCAACTCCAATCAATACTCAGCAGTCGACTATCTTACATCACCTTGAAAGCAGAACACTTGCAAGAAGCACATTAGTGGTTTGCTGCATTTCGATAGATTTGTCAAGTAAGATGTACGGATTTAAGAGAGAAATTGAGACGTAAATACGCCAGACGGAGCGCTGTGAAAGGCCGCCAACTCAGATATTTGTAGGGGATGGGTTCAAGAGTGTGGTTGACTGGTTTCAGAGCCCCTTCCTCGTATAACACTAGCAGTCCGCGTATTCAGGTTTGGCCCCTGTAGTACCACTCAGTGAGGTGCCTCCTGGCAAGCTGGCACAGGATCGAAGCTTCGCCGGATTGTAACCCTAATTCCGACAGCTGGGGTCATATAACAGACAAATAAGGTACAAACCCTTCAATCCCATTCGCTGTCATTTTGCAGCTTCTGCCTTGGACAGAGAACGGGATTCAAAAGAGCGGGCTCTTGTAAGAGCCCGCGCTGCGGCAGGATCCGCGTCTTACTTCGGGGATGAGAATGGGAATGCCAATCTTAAAGTGTTGATTTCCCCGCAGGGGCCTGGCCGGCGGGAGCGCCACCTTCCGGCGAGAGTTATGCATGCTCCGGTTGACTTATGCAACTCCAGGCCCGAATGACCTATCCCGAAGACTAAGGGGACAAACAGCGTGAATTCTTTGGGGAAAACATGCATACTATTTCGAATACGGTCAAAGACTGATGGCGCTTTCCATGTGCCACAACATACTAATAAGGAGAGAGCCCGACGCGGTCGTGCGACTGTCCCATTTTGAGGCATCATGGGCATTTAAGCACTTGTTAGCTTGTGTTCCACGCTCAAGTCGTAATCCGCCATACACGTGGCTCTACTAGCTCAGCACGACAACTCAAGTTATTGATGTCTATCTCTGTGCCCCTTGACGATACGGACATAGGGACTCAGATGTCGAGGCTACCATCCCCCCGGATTTAGGGAGTGAAATAATCACCGGTGGTCTAGGCAGTTCCCAGTAACCCAAGCTTGGTCGTCTAATATTTTGACAGAAGCGCTCGGTCTCCTGACAGCAATCAGGCTGGAATGACACCGACACGTTGGTAAGCCACAGTTGGAACGAGAAAGCGAGGAAAATTCTGCGCCAGAACGAGCCATCAGTACGCAATGCCCCGTGTCCAGACATGTCAGTGCCGCCTCTGTTCATCAAATGGTTCCAGGCCGTCTAATGTTGAAGGGGGTATGATCCTTGCGCCCATCAGTGTCGTCCAATCGCTGAGAGGCTCGCGATCGCATTATCAGGGAATCTCGCTTTCGGATTCTTAATTCGTGGTGTGCTGATGGAGAAACCAATGAACTAGTGCGGTGCATGATCCAACCATGGCACAACTTTGTGCAATCGGACCTGAACCCCTTCTCGAAGACCCGGGGTTGCTATGCGATTCTAGGTCTCCCGCAACGAATATAATGTAACCTTCTTCCCGTTGATTTTTTCAGCTTTATTCTTGAGGCTCAAGCCAAGAAGTTCGTGTTTCCACATACAAATAACGACCACGCCGAACCATTCTCCCGGAAACCTACACACAGCAAACGACTTACACGATCGATTCAGACGTGCTACCAACACACAGGCGTAGCACCGGAAAATCAAAGCACACCATGGCGGATCTCAAGTCCTCGGACTCTGCCCAAAGAGAAGTGGATGTTGAGAAAGGAATCAGCCCCAACGCCTCGGATCTCGAAGGCGCAACCATCAGACCCGAGTCTCGCCAGGAGCCAGAAGAAAACACACAAGATGCTGACAAGGAAGCACACCACGACCCGAACGTCGTCGATTGGGACGGACCTGACGATCCTGAAAACCCTCAAAACTGGCCCATGAAGCAAAAGTGGTTGAATATCGCTACCATTTCGATGTTAACCTTTGTCACGTAAGTTCTACCTCTACCCCAGAACCCAAAGACGAAGCCCATCAGCTAACCTCAACAGACCACTTGTAAGCTCTCTTGGAAACGCATTTCTAAGCTGACTGAACGCTGACATTTTTGCAGGGATCCTCCATGTTCGCCCCCGGTATTCCCAAAATCATGGTTGAATTTCACGAGACCTCGGCCACGGTAGCAACGTTCGTCGTCTCAGTTTACATCCTCGGCTTTGCCTTTGGCCCCCTCATTATCGCTCCGATGAGTGAGGTCTTTGGTCGCGCACGGCTTTACATCTACGGCAACATTCTCTTCACCATTTTCACCGTCGGCACGGCCCTCTCACAAAACATGGCCATGATGATGGCGTTCCGTTTCCTTATGGGTTTGGCTGGTGCGGTGCCAGTCACCATCGGAAGTGGCAGTATTGCAGATATCATGCCAATTGAGCAGAGAGGTCGAGCCATGTCCGCTTGGGCCTTAGGACCCCTTCTCGGCCCTTGTATTGGTCCCGTTGCCGGAGGCTACTTGATCAAGGCTGCTGGATGGAGATGGGTGTACTGGCTTGTGACTATTGTGGTATGTATTCCTCCGAGAGATTTGAAGGCTAAGGCGTGCACGAAATCTGACCAAGCTGTAGGGTGGTATCTTCATTCCTCTTTCTTGGTTCATGATGAAGGAGACCTTCGCCCCTCTCATTCTCGAACGCAAGGTAGCCAGGCTCCGCAAGGAAACTGGCAACACGAACCTCAGAAGCAAGCTCGATGATGGCCAAACCACGAAGCACAAGTTCCAGCACGCCATCGTCCGACCTATAAAGCTCCTCTTCGTCACACCGATCGTCACTCTCATGGCTCTCTACGTCGCCATCACATACGGTATCCTCTACCTCCTCATCACAACCTTCTCCTTCGTCTACAGAGATCAATACGGCTTCGATGAGGGAACCATCGGTCTCACTTTCCTTCCTGCCGGTATCGGTATGATGATTGGTGTCGGCACCTTCGGTGCGCTCACCGATTTCATCGTCATCAGGAATAAGAAGAAGGGGCTCGTTCACAGACCCGAGGCCCGTCTTACTCCGGTTTTGACCATGCCTTGCGGTGTGGTTCTCCCAATCGGTCTCTTCATCTATGGATGGACAACTGATAAGGGTGTTCACTTTATCGTTCCCATGCTTGGAGTTGTCATTTTCGCCATTGGACTTATGGGTGTGATGGTAAGTCCCCAATGCGTATCGAATGGAAGGGTGTTGGCTGACATGAGGAACAGATGTGCATTCAGAACTACCTCCTCGACACATACCCCCGATATGCAGCTTCTGTCACTGCCGCGCTAGCTGTTCTTCGATCTTTAGCCGGTGCGCTCCTTCCTCTTGGAGGCTTAGAAATGTACAACGCCCTCGGGCTCGGATGGGGTAACAGTTTGCTAGCGTTCATCTCGGTCGCCCTCATCCCCATTCCTCTCGTCTTTTACATGTTCGGCGAGCGGATCAGAGGCAGATTTAAGCCTAGTCTGTAAAATTGCTGGAATTATTCGGGAAGATTATTTGTTACGTTTGAAGCATGGCGTAAGGGTTTAGCATTCTATGGCATACTAAAAGGTGCCATCCTACATGGGGTGATGATCACAAAGCATTAGACGCATATCTTATATAGTTGAGACACGTAATATACTAAGAGACTTTACTTGGCAACTGGGTACATAAAATCGAATGCCCCGTAAATATTTGTGCTACCAAGCTCATAACTTAGGTGGTCGTTGCCGCTTTGCCCGGACTGACTATGAGCCACGGAAAACGATGTAGCTTGGCGGTGGTGGTGCTAGTAGTCTCACAGTCCATGTCGTGATGTAAGCGGTTGTACTTATCAAAAGAACAAGCGTGCACCATCAAAATTGGCCCTCAAGGTTGAAATACTGGTCCGCATAGAGAGCCGAATGGAACGTGGTGCGCTACGCAAGAGCTACGATCAGTAACAAAGAAGTGGCGCATGCCATTTCACAGTCTTCGGGTATTGACGAGGAATGGACCGAACAGAATCCAAATAGTTGGTGCTTGCCTCGATCGACGGCGTACGGATGGCGTCCCCGAAGCCGCATGCGGGATAGGATTGCAGATACGCGGCAGTTTGCGGCGGCCACATCAGTCCAAGACACATCCGCCACCAAATGCGGCCAGCCCGATACATAGCAGCGACTCAACCGCACCGGTCCTCAAGTTGGGGGGTTCGGTTCAGGAAAAGTGACGCCGATCTCCTCTTTCATCTTGAATTCTGATTCACGGTTCCCTATATTTCGACAACGCGCAAGCATTCGGGCGCGCGTGTGAGCCTAGAAACTTCACGACGCAGGGGTCTTTCTGGAATGCTATCAGATCCATGAAAACATTTGTGTACGACTCTGTTTACACGGCCTATATCGAGCAAACAAAATCAACAAGTCTTGGCGGGTCCCTTACTTCGCTTCGTTTGATCTCGACCGCGGGCTTCAGTATGAGCAACACAACTATACTGTCAGGGGTGGTTGGGCCAGGAGCATTCTTGCCAAGTGATACGAGGCAACCTTTAGTCGTCGGTATTACATCAATGTTCATCGTATTGACTGCCATTTTTATGGTCATTCGGGTTTACATCAGGGGTTACCTCTTGAGAGGATGGGAACTCGACGACTCTGTGTTCATGTGGTCTTCGGTGAGTTCAAGGTTGCCCCGCTATCAAGTCCCCCAAATGACACCTAACACTATCATACAAGATGCTCGTGATTGTGCAAGGTGCCATGGTGCTATGCAGTAAGTCAAACTCTGCTGGATTTTCACTATCTTTCAGTTAGCAAATAGGCTGATCCTGACTTTCTTCATCAGATGTAGTATATGGTAGTCTTGGGCTGCACCTTTGGAGATCAACATTTGATCAGATACAGCAAAATCCTCGTGTAAGTCACCAGGACACATGATCTACAGTCGGCACCAAGCCTGCGAGACTTTGGCTGACGTCGGTCTAAGTACTTGGTTGCAACAGTCCTTATGTACCAATTATCTTTCGGTTTCATTAAAGCAACATTTTTACTTCAGTTCCGCCGAGCATTCGCTCTGCCTCACATAATATTGTTCTGCGACATCTTCCTGGGTATCATGTTCCTAGCACTCATAGGATTGCTCATCTTCGGCGGAATCGTTATGCGAGATTTTCTGAAGCCGGGGTATGTCCCTACGCCTGGGGAAAAGGCATACCTGATATTTGGCTACGTCAACGCCGCCGTACATCTCTCGACGGATATCGTCATTTTCATACTGCCGCTGGCACTTGTGGGACAGATGCGCCTTGCAGCAATGCAAAAAGCTGGTCTAATCTCCAGTTTTGGGGTGGGAATCTTGTAAGTAATATAGACTGCCTCTTCAAAGGTCGTCTTCCTGAACAAATTGCAGCACCAGCGCGATCTCCGTGCTAAGAATAGTCAGCCTGCCTCTTGCTACCAGCGGGATCGATGGGTTCTACCAAGCCGTGCCGCTCGTTCTCCTAAGTATGGCCGAGCCAACGTCTGCAGTCATTTGCGCATGTGTGCCGATTATGCGGCCCTTGTTAGCATGCTCGGGAACTTCCAGGTATGGCAGCCAAGGATCGCGAAGACCTCTCTCAGGAGCAACCAACGAATCGGCCGGACAAAGACGTCAGACACCGAGTGCGCCTCCTCAATCGCCCACCAGCACGACAGATCAATCCGTAACGCAAATGACATACAAATCGACTATTACAGGGAGTATAGATGGAGATTTGGAAGGATACACTTCAAGCCAACAGGCCAGGGGTAGCATCAATACATTGAACCCACTGTCCATGCACCCATCATCTCCCACCAAAACGGCACAATTTCCATGAGGAATTGAAGTTTCTTCACCTTTACAGCAGTTAGAACTCCATGATTGATTGCGGCGTCTAAGTTCACACAAAGGCATCAGCACGTGGGTTCATGTTCACATTACGATGACGAGAGGCAACAAAATGTGAACCGCGGGGGGTGGGGGTGGAAATGCCAAAAGCCTCCGGAATGGAAGACACTCAGGTTATCTTGTTGGTGTTTGAACATTTGGCCGTGGAAAACATACGAGAATGGCAGCACCCACTTGAGTGTGCCGTGTAGGGAATCCTGACAACCCCTTAGAGCGGATATGATTCTTGTCTCCCACCTTGCGAGTCAAGGAAACCAGCTGCTAACGTTTCGTGGTTCACCTGATAAGTCGGAACCCCCAACCAACGACTTGAAGTAAGTTAGGGAAGTCAACTCCTAGCAGCGGCACAGACATGTTACGGGGCTTCATGGGAGATTAGGAAAATATAGCAACCGACCACCAGGTGTTAGATGCGCTATTGGCCTACATCCGAGAATGGAGGCAATGCTAAGTTGCGCTTGTCATACGTGTACTCCGAAGGCTGATGGCTAGGACTTTTGGCAGTGAATACAGAATTGTCTCTCAAATCATAATCTTTTTTGATGAGCAATAGTAGATCTAGGATTTAGAAATCGTAGTGGGAAGATGTTTGCTGGATCTCAATACCAAGACCACGTTGTCTGAGTTACTTGAGATAACTAGGAAATCAGTACGAGGGAGTCAACCACATTAGCATCAATGGTAGTATCCTTGGAACCACATACTGAGCTTCAAAAGATCGCATACAATCTGACTCAATGACGCCTCATGATCCTAATAGAAACATATGGATATATGGCTCTATCTTTCTCAATTTATTTTAGGAAGAGGTCTTCTGATATGGGCATCCGCATAATACCAGTCGATCAGTGCATTTCCAGACTCTTACAGGGTTGGCTGTAGAGCCTTGAGCCCCATATAACTTGAGCCGACCACTGGCAGAACCTCCAAATAGTGAGCATTATTTCTTTTTCGAATATCCAACCCTGACACCCCCTAGTCTCTTTGGTCGTCCGTAGAACGGTGGATGCTGAACAAGGGAGACAAGCTTACTGTCATAAGGGGGAGAATGACTGCCCCCGGACAGTATTAGGGCAGTAAGGGGGCAAGGAAATTCCCAGGTGTTGCGAAGTGACCTTCGGACCACTCAGAGAAGGTGAGAAACCAAGTCAGAATGTGAATTACACCCGGGCGGAAATTGTGGTGTCACCGTCCTCGATTCCAAGTCCTCAAACCCGAAAAGAGGGTCTTGAGCAATGGCAAAGCACTGACAGCTGTCAAATGTCACTTCTCCTGTCAAGTTTTCAGGAGGGGTATACCTAAGTTAAAGCTCGAATCTCAGACAACATATTGCTTATTTTCTTCCCTAATGCATCACAAACAGCCGGTTGGGCGGGTACGCTTGAGATTACATGGATTTCGCTTGGCAGGTTGTCCACTCAAAGCTCGCGAAAGATGCCCTGTGAAAAAAGAAGGACTTCTGCCGGAAGTGCACTCTCTGCGAGAGCACTCAGGTTTGCTTGTCAATTTGATGTCAGCACGGAGCCTCCCCCGTGGCCTGCACCATGCCGCCCGGTAGAGTGACAAAAGTTTCCAAGGGATGGCCAAGACCCCAGCATACCATTCCACAGGAATAAAACAGCCCAAATTCCCGGGTACTGAGTTTTGGTCCTGCCGTGGCTTGTGCTTCTCTACTATTCTTGACCTCCCTTTTCCACCAGTAACCTCTTTGTGATCGGCCTTGAAGGCTTGGTCGTCATTGAGTGTGTCGATGGCCTCTTCCGAACCCAGGTACATGGCCGAGCCGCCAGATGATCAAGGACGATTCGATGCGGGCACTATTACAGCCGGGGCGTTGATATTGGGTGGAACGCTGACTTCGCTATCCATCATATTTGTCGGTCTGCGAGCCTTCACAAGGCTATCCCTGGTGAGAAGAGGTCTTGGTCCCGATGACTGTGAGTATTCTCCTAACATATATTTGTGAACTCTGTTCTAATGAGCCCTTATCCAGATCTCATCGGCATCTCGCTAGTTCTGGCTATAATCTTCTATGGACTATCCGTCAAATGTGAGACTATTCCGACCACTTACTATGCAGGGCGCCTCTAATTCCAGAAGTGTGCGAGCTCGGCGTGGGTACTCATCTCTGGCAAGTCGAGCGAGCTGACTATTCACCTTCATTTCTGCTGGTAAGTTACAACCCTCTCTTGAGGTTGTCAGATGAACCTCAGCATTTGTTCTTTCCACGGACGCACCCGACTGACAAAACGATCTAGCACAGCATCATTGCGATAGCCGTCTACTCATTAAGTGTAACTACTGCGAAGTTGTCACTCCTCGTTTTGTACTTGCGTCTATCACCCGAAAGGTGGTTCAGAATTATTACAATGACCCTCATTGGCTTCGCCTCTTCGTACGCGCTGGCATACCTCTTTCTCATCGTCCTCAGCTGCAGGCCAATCCAGGCTTCATGGGATCTCTCGGCTAGAGAGGGAGCGATATGCGTCGACAAAAACACCGTCTACTTGGTGCTCAGTGCTACCAACATCATTATGGATGTCGTGTGCCTTATCCTTCCTCTGAAGATCATCATCCCACTGCAGATGGCAGCTCGACAAAAGCTGTCGCTGATTCTGCTATTTGCAACAGGGGGCTTGTAAGCGACTTCTCACGGAAGGTGCACAATCGCATGCTGACGTCTTTGCAGTGTCTGTCTATGTGCCATCAGACGTACAATCCTCCTACCGCCGCTCTTCAAAAGTAAGGATTACACTTTTGACATTGACAGGCAGTTGAACTGGGCATCCATCGAAGTCAACGCTGGAATTGTGTGTGCCTCCGTCCCGGCACTCAAGCCTTTCTTCGTGCGCTATCTGCCAATGTTTGTGACTTCCCACGTCGCCGCACGCGGCTCCAAGACGAAGAAGACAACGCCAGATTATCAAAAGTACCAACACTCGAATCCCTACTCTACCACAATTGAAGCCAACAAGAAGAGGCGCAACGTTCAATCAGAGGCATACGAGCTGCATTGGCGTGATGATTTGTCGCTATCATCGAATGACATGCCGAAAAATGGGTCAAGAGAAGATGTTGCGAGGCTTTGGTCCGGAAATGCGTTTCGCAAACAAAGCAGAAGTCGCTGCGAGAATACCATCGAGTCGAACCCAAGGGACCCAGATGATAGTGCCTCAATCCTTGTCGACCAGATACAGCCGGTGGGAGAACATGACTCAAAAGAAGACCCTCCGCAGAGAGTGGCGAGCATGAGCGGTATCAGAGTCACGACAGAGACACGGGTCGAGTATGAGGTACCATGGCCGGATCATCGCAGTCCCAGGGGATGATATTTTCACGCTGTTCTATTGTTTGTTGAGCGTACTTTGGACACGTGCGGATTTTATATTAGGAATACAGACTGCAAGCTGTCTTCGTGCCCCAAGTCTCCCAACTTCAAGGTAGAAGGTTTCCTCGCTCATCATGCAGCCTCCAGGTGCATCATATCTCTGAGGTCTTTCACCTCCGTGCCAGGCCTAGTAGCGACAGGCTTCGACTTTCTATTGCCATACTTCCATTCCTCTTTTAGTCCCCTTTCTTTGCCCTCCAAGGCATCTGCAATGTAGTCGCCGATGATGGGAAACATCTTGAAAGCATGACCAGAGTCTCCAGTCGCCAGAAGTAGTGATGAATGTTTCGGGTGATTGTCGATGAGCCAGTGAGAGTCCGGAGAGTCGGTGCACCAGCAGACTCGCGCACCTAGCAGCGGTCGACCAGAGAACTGTGGCATGACTGTATCAATAAACTTCCTGATTGCTGTAGCTGCTTCATCGGGGATTCCGTCTTTGGGGTGTGCACTCGCGTATCGAGGAACTGAGTAGTGCTCCACCTTACCCGAGGGATCGATGTACGTGCCGATTCGGTACTGGTAACCTGGGGATCCGTCACAGATCTTCATCCACTCTGCAAGCAACGTCAGTAAACAGATCCTTGTCTCTCATTGTCGTATAAACCTACTGGTTTCTGCGTCTGGTTCGAATGTGAAGCCCAGCTCAAAGTTGTCCACGACGGGAATCCCCTTCCACTGGGCAACCTCCTCATCATTCAGCTCGATATGAGCCAAAGACCAGCACTTTGTCCACATCTCCTGTGACAACTCAGGTAGAACTTCAGGTGATGCAGCCCCTGTACAGAGGATATACCTGTCCCCACGCACAACATCGCCGGACGCAACCTTGATCCCGTCAAGCTTGCCCGAAGTATTAAGGCTCAGCCCAGTCATCGTACCATTAGGTCCTGATATGAATTCAACACCCATATCCTGTGCTGCTTTACCCCATTTCTCTAAAGACTTCTTGGCATGGGCCCAGCCACCTTGGCTGTTCCAAAGGCCCTTCCAGTTTTCGATGCCGTCTGCATCACGGAGTTGCGGAACGTGTGTGGCAATTTGCTCTTTGCCCGCCACCAGCTCGAGACTATCAGCCTGTCCAGCCTTCTTGAGATTCTCATACGACTCTTTGAGGTGTTTCTCTGCTAGTGGGTCCCCTAGAGTTGTCACGATGCGTCCCTATGAGGTTATCAGGGGCTGAAATATGCGATAATGATTGTGGGAAACGTCGACCAACCGTCTCATGAAAGATTCCTTCCCATTCTGAACTTCTCCAAGCATTGAGTGCCTCGAGCGCCAGTTCCGTGTACAGCGGCTCATCATATTCGGTTCTAATAATTTTGTTCAGGTCATACCCTGCAGAATCGAGGCTTGGTATGGGATGACGATCGAGACACCTGATATTGGTGTAGCCACGCTTGGCAAGATGATATGCGGTGCTGATGCCAAAGGTACCCCTGATAAGGTCTGATCAGTAATGCCCAGATTTGGTATGGTTATGTTAGACTCACGCGCCCAGAATGACAATGCTCGAGGTCTTTGAAAGAGGCGGGGTATTGACGGTCATGGTTGACGAATAATTACCATTATCTTTGTGCAAGGGAGCAGATTTCGAATACAAACTATCACTCCTTCAAAGATGAAATATGTCTGAGAGAGTTTCCGTATCTCGGTGAGATATGTAGTCCTCAAGTCGGTACAAACACGTCGAGACTACATGAACTCTATGAAAGAGGATCGACTTGGTCAAAACATGGGCATCTAATTGGCCCATTGTTTTACCCCTCGTCCTGCACAGTTACTAACTAGGCCATTATTGGGACGCCAGTCCGCTAGAGCGCACGTCCAAACAGGTGATCTCAGGGGTCTCTGCCGGCTTGGACCTTCCCTTCCGCCTCACCATGTCCATCTTGGACATCCTCCCCCGCCTCATCAACCTCGGAGATGTAACATCGGAACCCTGAAAATGTCAACAAGCTTTTACGACTCCGCATTACTCGTGCATTTTACCATCTCTCAACGACAACAATGTCTAGAAACGAGCCACTGATCCCGTCGCGGCAGCACAGGCCAGATAGCTTGGACCTTCCACAGTATTGTCTCCCCTGCTCCGCTGTAGGTAGTGTACCATGAGGAAACACCAGCGTAAAGCCTATCTTGACTGCGGGGTCTGAAGATCGGGTCAAGATGGACTGGGTGCAACGGATGGGTCCACCAGTTCCAAGGAAGGTCGATACCGAGTAGTTCGTTCCGGATGAGGTTTATACTCGGCTCGACGGCAAATAGTATATAACGACTTGTAGAAAGTTTTCGTTCCACATCAGTAGCATCGATCAGACCAGTTCAACGATCCACTCATTTATATCAACATTCTCCGGCCCAAGGTTCGGCCACCATGTCTGGCACAACAGACCAGCACGGCGAAAAGACGGCCGTGGCCTCTCCAGGGCCGCAGTTGCATCCCGACGAGGAGGCTCGCGATGCCGAAAACCTAGACAAGGCGATGGCCTACGCCATTGACGAGATTGAGGAGCACTTTGACATCGAGTCCGACAACTCGCCGTACCCTGAAGTCCGCGCTAACGTGCCTAACACGGACGACCCGTCCATGCCCGTCAACACGCTCCGCATGTGGGTTCTCGGCGTCCTCTTCACCATGGTCGGCTCCGGTATCAACCAGTTCTTCTCTATGAGGTACCCGGGCGTCACCATCTCGTCTCTGGTGGCACAACTCATCGCCTACCCCGTCGGGTGCGCCGTGGCCCGTATCCTGCCAGTTAAAAAGGTGCGCGTCTTCGGCCGCTGGGACCTGGTGATCAATCCGGACCACTACTTCAACATTAAGGAGCACGCGGTCATCACCATCATGTCCAACCTATCTTTTGGACCTTCGTGGGCTACTGACATCATTCAAGCGCAGAAGGCGTCGGCGTTCTACGGGCTCGATACACCGGTCGCGTACCAATTCCTGCTAGGCCTCTCGATGCAGCTATTCGGTCTTGGTATGGCTGGACTGGCGTATCGCTTCATCGTAGAGCCTCCTCACATGATCTGGCCATCGACACTGGCCAACGCTGCGCTGTTTCAGACACTTCATGGCCGGGCGAATCCTTTAGCAGACGGTTGGAGGATCACAAGATATCGGTTCTTTCTTTATGTCTTTGTTGGGGGGTTCTTCTGGTACTGGCTTCCGGGGTATCTGTTTACTGGTCTGAGCACCTTTGCATTTGTCTGCTGGGCTGCTCCGAGTAAGTCGGATACCTGTATGATGGTTATTCAGTTCCACTGACAAGGCACAGACAACGTTGTAGTCAACAATCTATTCGGCATGTCGACGGGCCTAGCCTATCTACCCATTACCTTTGACTGGTCTCAGATCGCCTACAACGGATCGCCTTTGGTCGTTCCGTTCTGGGCGCAAGCTAATGTCTTTGCTGGATGGGTCATCCTCTTTGCTCTCGTAACACCGATTCTATACTACACCAATACGTGGTATACCGCATTCCTCCCCTTCTCAGGCGCAGATACCTACGACAACACCGGCAAGATCTACAATGCTACCCGCGTAGTAGGCAAAGATGGCAATTTTATCGTGGAGGAGTACGAGAAATACAGCCCCCTCTTCATGCCCGTCACCTTCGCGCTCAGCTATGGCATATCGTTTGCGACAATGACCTGCGTGCCGACGTACATCTTCATCAACTACTACAAAGACATCATCGGCGCACTCAAACCGAGCAGGAAGAAGGATATCCACACTCGCCTGATCGAGAGATACCCAGACACACCATGGTGGTGGTACGGCATCATGACGGCCGCCGTGCTGGTGTTGACAATCATCGTGCAAGAGGTCTACAAAACCCAAATGCCTGTCTGGGGCGTTTTCGTGGCCTTTGGATTAGCTCTGATATACCTGATCCCGACCGGCAGCGTCTACGCCGTCGCAAACCTCAACAGCAACGTACTCACGGTCTTGGGCGAAATCATCTCGGGATACGCCATACCGGGAAAGCCTATCGTCATGCTTATTTTCAAGTTCTACGCCTACACGGGTCTAAGCCAGGCCATGATCTTCTCCTCGGACATGAAGCTCGGCCTGTACATGAAGATTCCCCGGAGAACGCTGTTTGTAGCCCAATTGGCGGCTTGTATCACGGGCTCTCTCACGCAGAATGCCGTTCTCTTGTGGATGCTGAACCATGTCAAGGACATTTGCCACGAAAGTCAGCCCAATGGCTACACCTGCCCGCAAGGACGGGTTAACTTCTCTTCGAGCATCGTTTGGGGTGCCATCGGCCCAGCACGGCTATACAGCGTTGGCAAGATATATTCTGGTCTGTTGCATCTCTTCTGGATTGGGGCACTGTTACCCGTGGTGACATTCTTCCTCAAGAAGAGATTCCCAGAAAATAAGTTCCTGAGATACCTTCACTGGCCTCTCTTCTTTGCAGGAACGGGCAACGTTCCTCCCGCCACAGGGATCAACTACACCTCGGCCTTTGTCGTCTCCTTCATCTTTAATAAGTGGCTCAAGGGCAAATTCCCTCAATGGTGGGCAAAGGTGAGTTCAAATGCAACGACTTGCATCCCGAATGTAGGTGACTAGGTAGTTCCCATACTGACTCGGTAACGACAGTACAACTATGTCCTATCTGCCGCTCTCGACTCTGGCCTAGCCATATCCGCCATCGTCATCTTCTTTGCTCTCGTTTTCCCCGGTGTCCAGCTAAGCTGGTGGGGTAATAATGTTCAGCGTTCGACCATCGACGGCCAAGGCGTTCCCTTGAAGGCTGTGCCGTCAAATGGCACATTTGGCCCAGCAACCTGGTCTTAGCCAGGTATTTTCCTGATATCCATCATCCGTCTGAATGATTCCCTGTAACTTTCTGGCACTGATAAGCCATGATTCCCAATAGCAAAACCAAACCAGGTACAAATACTACTACTAATGAACGCATTGCGCCAAATCCAAAACGCCCGTATGTCGCCGTTACTCGTAAGCATAATACATCACAGAAACTAGGGTGTACCTCCGCATAAATGACCGTGAGGACTGCTTTGCAGGTTCGAAAGCAATACCGCCCGAGCTACACAGCTTAAGCCAGACTAATATTATGGCAGAATGGTGCCACGAATCGAGCCCAGTCGTTAAAAGCCTTGGGGCTGGGGGATACCTGCCGATCCGACGACAAGAACGATGCCGCCTCGCGTTGTTTCCAGACCTTTTCAATCACGGAACGGGTCCGAGTGACGTTGCAGAGCGAATCTGCCAACTTGTCGAGTACATAAAGTACAAATGGACGTGCGTAGCGGGGTGAGGTTCTGTCCTCGACATCTCCCTCGGCCCATTCAAGCTCCTCTGTGGGATCGAGTTGGCAGGCTGCCATGAAGAGCGGCCATGTGAGCCCAGCTTTGACATCCGCCTCGAGCAACACCGCGACGAGACGCAAAATCTTCTTCACGTTCTGCCGAATCACAAGCGTCGCGGGAGTTGAGTCGTTGAGAGCAGAGTGAAGGTAGAGCTCTACCGTCAACCGCTTCAACTCGACAGTATTCCTAATGATTTCGTCTGCGCTGTCGCTCTTCAGATGCGACTGCTGGAGCAGACAAGTCAACCTGATCCGCTGGCGCTCAAGATCCTGCCAGCAGTCCTCCGCCGTCGAAGATGACATGCGATGGTACTTGAAGCTGAGCTCCGTAATCTCACCAATGATACTGACCAGCTGCGGCGAGCAGCCCATCCAGAGATCAAGCCCCTCGTCCTCCTGCGCGGACCAAAAGTCGTTACCGAAAATGGGCTCCTCGCCGCACGCAGTTCGTCCCATGACGTCGTAAAAGGCAAAATACCGCTCGGTGAACTTGATGATTCGCTCCCACGGACTCTGCTGCCGCGCCGCCATCTTGGCGGCGTCCGAAGTCATGCCTTGGCGTCTGAACCTGATGAGGTCTCGGGCCCCGCGCAGATGCGTGACCCAGCGCTTGTCGCACTCTGCAATGATTTCGAGCTGGCAGAGCAGCATCATCAGGACGAGGATCTCCGAGTTGGCTGCGATGTCGATGGACGACTTATTTTCGAGGGTTAAGCGCAGCGATCGGATGACTTTGGCTGAGTAGCTTAGAGCTACCGGCTGATATGTGCAGTCTGATCTTGCTCTGTGTGAAGCGGCGAGGCCCAGGAGGGCGTGCATGAGGGCTGGCGAGGCGGATGAGACGGCGAAGGGGAAGATGAGTGCGGAAAAAGGAGATTCGCCTGAAGCACATGGGACTGTCATGGGACAGATTCGATCCAGGTAGTACGATAACAAATGTGATTCGGCCTGGCTATCGAGTTGGAGGTATCTCACCGGCCGGTTGATACAGCCCAAGTTCTTTCTCAGTGTAAGAGCTGCTGATTTGCGCTCATCCGTAGAGCTGTCATCACTGGAGGACGACGAAGACTCTTCCCTCTCAAAGTCGGTGGTGAAGGAGTTCAAGAAACCAAAAGAGTGAACGTGGGTAGGGAGACACCAGTAGTTGTCCAGGGTGGAAGGCGGCGTCGCGGATTTCTTCTTGTTATTGCCGCCCGTCCCAGATTTCGACCACACGCCAGCCCTCCCAAAGGCGCGACCAACGTAGTCCGTTTCCCATTTCAGGACCTGGGCGTAGACGCAGTCGGCGTAGCCACGGGAAGTACATGGCCCACAGTGAGGTTTCGCCTCGTCGCACCGGATCTTGTGTAGACGGCAGCGGTGACAGCCGCGGTGGCTTCGTCTAGATACCTGCTTTGAGGGATCTCGTCTGCGCGGCATTTTTGCCAGAGACTGTAATAGACTGTGAAGATGTCTCGACAAGTCTAATATGAGCTAAAAAAGAGTACAGCAAGATGCCGGTGCTAGCAGTATTGAATAGTGGATTTGGGAGATGGGGCGTGACATGGAACTGCAGGAGAGGATTCCGGGGGACGGATGGGGAGGCCGGGGATGTGAGGGGCCTAGTTGTCGAGTGATGGAGCAAATCGTCCGCTGACTAAACCCCGTTCTTGGAGCCTGACTCCGACTTTTTGATCATCGCCAACATTTGGGTCTCCTAGATAGAGTTCACTGGGATGGCTGGTTCGCTAGTTGAAGGTTTGGGCCAGGGGGGAAGCGCCCCGATCCCCAAGTGTTGGATGCTCATTCTGGGAACTGCCAATCTTGGGTTGACTTGATGTTTGACCATTCACCTCAGACAAAAGCCAAAAGATTAGAGTTGAGCTGTTGCTCTACCTTGTTCTCAAGAATTACGCAACTCAATGCGGAGTGGCACTAGATTGCTACTAGCTATCTGACTCGTTATAAGAGATACGCGTCCTCGGACTATGAGAGCTGGTGCAAGGCACTGGAGATCAGAGCGGTCAAAAAGGCATTGATGATGTAGGGTTACCATGAGCAAAGAGGAGTGCACATCAAACGTCGAGTTTACCGAACGTGTGAAGCCGAACTTGTCGTACCTAGCCTGTAATCTGAAGGAACGTTTGACCAAGTCCTCTTCTCTGCGCAGTCGTGACGTTGGCAGCGTCGTCCGATATAAAGCATTCTGAGGGGTAATGCCGGCTCATGTGGGCAGCTTTGAGTTTAGAGCACTTCGCGACAAAGCTTCTCAAAGCGGGATGATATCAGACAACTGAAAATAGGACGGCGTGGGCCGTATCAAAGAAGATAGCGATCACCCTCTGATATTGAATCACAGGGAGCTTCTCCATATAGGGCGGCTTGGGCGAGTCAGGAACTTCTGAAGCTCTTTTCTGGGCCTCTGTCCGTACAAGGAGGGGTTGTGACGAGTCCTTGAGGGGCCATCGCGGGGTCAGCCATGACTCAGGGGTCCACACGCGCGCTTCAAAACCACTGAGCACACCAAAACAATCAGCAATCACAACTGGTCGGTTAGCTCAGTTGGTTAGAGCGTGGTACTAATATTTCACCTGAAATGTTGTGTAATGCCAAGGCCGGGAGTTCAAGCCTCCCACTGATCATTTCTTTTGCAAATTTGACCTAGAGTTGCAGCTGTCTCTTTAAATGTGACGAGAAAGCTCTTTTTTTCCCTGGTTGGGTGAAAATTCACGCGTTGACGTGGAATTAGATGGTCTGAGCCCTTTCTCATGTTCAGATGCATATAATGCTTATGTCGATTAATTGAGGCTCCTTCTAATATGCCTAAATCGGAGTGCGATAAAGATAAGCGTCATGCAGCATGTCACCCTAAGGTACCTACCTAGCTTCTAATTAGAAGTCAGGATCTCTCTAAAGCTCCCCCAAGCTTTAAAAACGCTAAGCCTCAACTGATGTCTATCTTGTCACACACGTCTCCCTGGATCTCGCCCAACTCCCCTCGACACAAAATCATGCCGCCGAGATGACAAACCCGCGCCCTTGGACACCTCCCCTCCTCCTCCGCATCCGCTTCACAACCTCCCTCCCAGACCTCGACCTCGACATCCCCTCCCCTTCCCAAACAACAGTCGCCGCTCTCAAGCACCTCATCCGCGGCCGCCTCGCACAACCCGACTCCCAGCGCCGCCTCCGCTTCATCCACCAGGGCAAGATCCTCCCCGACGCCTCGGCCCTCAGCTCCGTCCTGCGCCCGCTGCCCCCTCCTCCTCCCCCGTCATCCTCGAACCCGACGTCGACGCCGTCCACACCCGGCGCAAGCAGCGGCTTCGATGACCCCAAGGGCAAAGGCAAGGCCAAGGCCAACGAGACGGCGCTGCCGCAGAGGGTCTACGTGAACTGCAGCATTGGCGACAGTCTCACCGACGAAGAACTCGCCGCCGAAGCCGAGGCAGCTCTACGCGCGCCATCGGAGCGGGGTGCGACGACGCCTTCCGGGGCAGGAGACGGGCAGCATGGCGGTCACGGTCACGGTCACGACGGTGTCGCATACGGCTCCCAAGCCCACCACCATCAGCAGCAGCGCCCGACGCCAAGGGGCTTCGACAGGCTCCTCAACGCAGGCTTCACGGCGGCCGAAGTAAACCAGCTGCGCCTCCAGTTTCGCGACATACGCGCGACGCAGTATACCCCCGACACCATGCCCAGCCCGGACACGATGCGCTCGCTCGAGGACACTTGGATAGATACCAACGCCGGCGGCGCGTTACCCGGCAGCGGGACAGGCGCAGGAGGGGACGGAGCCGACGGAGGAGCGGGTGGCGGCGGCGGTGATGATGCGTTTGGGGTCATGAGCGGTATACTCGACGTCCTCATCGAGGGTCTTATTGTAGGCTTCTTCTGGCCATTGGGGTGTCTGGGGTGGCTCTCGCGGGAGGAAAATATGCTCTCTGGCCGGTGGCATGACTTTATCGGGTTCGGTGTGACATTGAGTATCATCATTGGCGTCATCAGGGCCTTCTCGGGCGATCGATAAGGCGAGGCCGTTGTGGGCTTCCAAGTCCTTGTGGACTCATTCTGGGGAGGGGATATGCTTCCGGGTGATTGGTACGATCACGTTACGTTCGGTATGGCATGGTGTTGCATTGTTTAGTGTCGACACGATGGCTTTCTCGGGCGATTGGTAGAGCAATTGCGGTTTTTTCTGTTACGGGGTTTTGGCGTTGGGATAGCGTGGATGCTTATTGATTATACCTAGGTAGTGGCGTTTTATCCGTAATTATACCAAGCATCAGGCAAGGATGGCCAGGGAGCGTAGTATGAATCACATAGATAGAGACAGCGAACAAAAGGGGGCCATTATCTGCTTCATTGGTGGCCATGGAGAAAGCGACTTTTTAAGGGCCGAAACTCCGAATCCGCACACACAAAGATTCTACATGCATGGTATAAAACCTCGAATAACCATCAAACGCCATGATGTCCCCTGGGGCTACCTAATAAAAGCAAAAAAGTACAACGGGCTAGAAAAGAGGGAACAAAAGGGCGATCTGACAATTGCTAGCATGACAGTATTGTTGCCAGCATCTGAAGACAAACCTTTTTTAGAGTTTTACAGGTACAAACTCTGGGCCGCGACGATGTCACGGCGGATCTTGGCGAGACTGTCCTCGAACTTTTGTGTAAGCTCGTCACTGCCCATGACCTTGGCGCCCTGGCCCATCTGGCGCAGAAGCTCTTCCAGACGGCGGAAAAGGCGGATAAGGGAACCCTCGTAGGCATTGGTCATTTTGCTGTAACGTGTCAGTGGACGTAAGATAGAACGGGGAAATTGGAGGTAACGTACCAGATGTCTGCAAACGGCTTGCCTTGTGCCCACGAGTAGACAGTCTCCATCAATTGCCACTTGAAGCCAGCCAAGTACTCCTCCTCGTTGAGCTCAAGCTTGCTCTCCCGGCTGACCTTAGCGACCTGCTTAGCCTTGGCCTGAACCTCCCGGTAGGGCTTGGCCAATTCCTCGCGCAGGGCTGCTGTCTCAAGCTTCTCGTCCAAGACGAAACAGCTGAGTGTAGCGGCAATGAGCTCGGGAGAGAGCTCATTAAAGAAGCGATCAAACAGAAGCTCGGCAAGAACAAGTTCATGGCCTTCGGTGGATGAGATCTCACAGGCGACACGAGCCTTAAGCTCGACAACCTCAGACTCGTTAAGGAATCCGAGACGGCGCAGGACACGCTTGCGCGCCTTGAGCTCATCCATCTGCGCAATGCTGTGGAGTGTTGCAATCTCCTTCTTCTTGGACTTGATCTGCTCGCCGAGTTTCTCCTTGGAGCGATACTGAAGGTAGAGCTCGGGCAGCAGTGGTGATCCGTGAAGGGGGTTGGTGAGGAGGCGCGCCTCCAACATCTCAATCTTCCTCATCAGGGCTTTGAAAGACTCGTCATTGATGCCCATGTTCTCAACAGGATCCAAAATGGGCAGTCCGTCGGGGAAGCGTCTGTGAACCTCCCGAAGAGAGTTGCCAACCTCGTTAAGCGCGGACTGAGATTTGCAGTCCTTGGGCATGAAGACTCTGATCTGGCTGATGGACTTGACGCAAGTCAGAAGACAGGGGATAATCTCGAAGCGAGCTCCATTGTCCGGCTGTTCGGGGTTCGGGTAGGGAACCAGGCCCTTTGGCAGATCAGAGGTCAAATGCCTGGAACCTTCGGCAACAGGTGCGCTCTTCTGGTCGACAACCATCATGACGTCGATGAGGCAGGACTCCTGAGGCGGGTATTCGGGCTCGCCTTGCTTGCGGTTGCGGTCGCGGCGGATCAGATTCGCCACGACACCCCAGCCGAAGTCGGTTCCGCCAATGGTGTTATTGGTCTTCTTGGGGTCGTGAATGCGAACCAGACGGCCGGGCTGCATGAAGTCGGTGCAGTGCTCAGGGTGCTGAATGACAGCGCGCATGTCGCTTGTGTACTGCTCCAGCTGGTTGCGGAGGTTGTAGTAGTCCTTGACCGTCGCCTCATCAGCGATGGACATGCTGTCCCTCTCTTGCTGGAGAGCAACCAAGTCACGTTCCAAAGCCGGGACACTAGCACCTGTCTGGAACTGGTGGAAGCAACGCTCAAGCATGAACTCGGGGGAAATAGCCTCGATTCTCAAGAGGTTAAGGATCATGTTGTAGCCGAGGTAGAAGGCGGAGTTAAGACGATCCTGCTCACCCACGACCATGCCACGGGCAGTGTCAGGCTCCATCTTGTCGTCAATCATCATGATGACAATACCACGCGTATCCAGACCTCTACGACCAGCACGACCAGACATCTGAATGTACTCGGACGGGGTGAGAGGTCTCCGTTGAACTCCATCCCACTTGTTAGTTTGGGTGAAGACGACAGTCTTGGCAGGCATGTTGAGACCAATGGAGAAGGTTTCGGTTGCGACAAGCACCTTGATCAGAGACTCTTGGAACAGAATCTCGATGGTCTCCTTCAAAATGGGAAGAAGACCAGAGTGATGCACACCGATACCCTTTTGCAACAGAGGAAGCAGGTTCTGGATCTGGGGAAGCTCGCGATCAGCCTCAGATAAGCTCTGGATGGCATTGTTGAACACGGTCTTGACCATGGCCTGCTCCGAGTCATTGTTGAACTGGAAATGAGAGATCTGCAGAGCCAGGTTCTCAACCTCCTTTTTGCTGAAGTTGAAAACGATGACAGGGTGGAAGCTCTTCTGCATGATCATGCGAATGATCTTGGAGATATCAGACTTCATATCGGACGCCTGACCACCCTTTTGTGTCTGCTTCTTGGCTCCCTTGCCCTTCCAGCTTGCATTCGCGTTGTTGGGGTCTTGACCCTTGCCCGCCTCGATGAGGGACATGGTCTTCTGGAAGTTGCCTTCTCTGAACACGCCCTTCTCGTCGACAACCAGGAAGATGCCATTACCACCGGCAGGGAAGAAGTAGTTTTGAAGGGGCGTGGGACGGAAATCAGTGTAGACAACGTGGCACGCCTGGTGATGGATCTTGGCAATCCACTCCGCAAACTGGAAGGCGTTGGGAATGGTGGCGGACAAAAAGACGTAGCGGACCTTATCGGGAAGAAGGATGATGGTCTCTTCCCAAACAACACCTCTGGTCTTGTCTCTCATGTAGTGGATTTCGTCAAAGACGACCCAGGCAACCTCTCGCATGATCTCGGAACCACGGTACAACATGGAGCGCAGAATCTCGGTTGTCATGACCAAACAGCTGGCGGTGGGATTGATCGTGACATCACCAGTCATCAGACCGACATCGCCAAATAGTGCTTCGAAGTCTCGGTATTTCTGGTTGCTGAGGGCCTTGATGGGACTTGTGTAAATGACTCTCTGGTTACGCTTCAGACATTGCGCAATGGCGTATTCGGCGACGACGGTCTTTCCGGCAGAGGTGTGGGCAGAAACCAACACGCTCTCCTCCCTCTCGATCGAAGCGACAGACAGTGCCTGGAAAGGATCTAACTTAAAGCTGTACTGGCGTGCTGGCTCCGCGGGCGGCTTATGCTCGGAGAGGGGGATGTATTCGTAGTCCAGGTCCGGCGGCAAGGCGACTTGGTGCTGGATGTTGTGGGACAGGACGAGCGATTCGTCCTGTGCTGGGGTGAAGACCGCGGCGCCAGCAACCTCTCGGGACTGGGCAGTCTGGAAGGTGTCGGTCAAGACAGGCTGGGCCTCATCTTCCTTCTTCCTCCGCTTGTCCTTATGGGGCTCCTGCTGTTCGTCAGAAGCAGCGGCGGCATCTTCAGTTTCGTCAGCGTCCTGGCCATCCTTGGAGGTATCATCGGCGTCGGGCATGTCGTCGTCCTCTGGCTTTTCGGCGACGCCATTCTTCATTCCACCATCGGCCTTGCGCTTCTTGCTCTTCTTGTCCTTCTTGCGCGACTTCTGAGGGGGCTCGGCTACCTCAGTCTCAGGTTCGGGCTCGCTGTGTGACTCGTTTTGCGCGTCAGGTTGAGCGTCGAAAACATCGAAAAGCTCGTCCATGGTGGGCGATTGCTTGTTGCCAAGCGGGAACAGCAAAGTTGGGGTCGGCGCCTCGTTGGTCTTATGTATGGCGTCAGGGACTCAAGGTTTATTGATGGACCAATGGCAAGCAAACAAAGCCAAACCCTTGCAAGCTCTCGAAATGCAAAGACGCGAGACACTTGGGGTGCAGCGGCGTGTCTGTTGGTTTTTGAGGGTGTTGACAAGAGGCAACTCCTCAATTTTGTCTAGTCCCGGCAATGTGCGTTCGGTCGCAATTCGCAGGTGCTCGGGCGAAAAAGTTGGCGGGTCGGCCAGAGCGAGCAACAAGGAAGAGGCAGAAAAAAAATTCCAAAATGCATGCATGACGGTGGTTGAGATCCGTCCAGATACGGAAGGCGGTGACCGATCATCGTAGCTTCGAAATCCCAGCTGCGGGACTGGACCGTTCGCCGCTACCTATAACTTAGGCCCAGTCACGTGGAATTACATAACCAGGAACAGACTTGGAGATCTTTGGAGCTTAGCCGGCTGCACAGTCTCAGACCACTCTTTTGGATGACTTCAACACCACAATCGCACCTCTCCATACACCCATTGCGCTTCGCGATCGCCTCATAACACACCGCCAAAGTAATTAAGACCCCGCGAATACCCCCCAAAGTCCAATTGATGCTGACCAGCGCTCCGTAGATGTTCGCCCGTGCTGCCGCCCGCGCGGTCCCCAAGACCCCTTCCACGGTCGCCCGCCGCGGCTTCCAGACCACCCGCGCCCAGATGTCCTCGCCCTACCACTACCCCGAGGGTCCCTACACCAACATCCCCTTCAACCCCAAGAGCAAGTTCTTCGGCCTTGGCTTCTGGACCTACTCCTTCGTCGGCTTCTTCGCCCCCTTCGGCATTGCTGGTGCGTGCTTTTTACCGCGGCCCCGATTTCCGCCGATATCGAGTACTGACGAGATTCATAGTTTGGCAAACCAAGAAGCCCAAGGTTTAAGGAACCTCTTTGCACATTTTTTCTTGAGTCGATCGCCATTGTAGAGCATGGATTGGGTTGAGACGGAGGACGACTGTGTACACAAGCCGAAATAGAGACTTTTCGTCCTCAATGGATCAGCAGGGAAACCGAATTACGATCTGTCCGTCGCGGCATTCTATGTGATGAATGTGAATCGCAGACCTGGGAGCCATACCAGACTACAGCCCGTGCCCGTGCTGGGATACTCATCACAGGTGAATGGGGATAGAGGTCACAGTTCTCTACTCAAGTGGCAGTTGGCTACATTGTGTCAGCAACTGGACAGTCTCAAGGACTTAAGGGCCAAAAACAGAGTTCAACTCAGTAGGCTACATCCCTTGTCGATTATCCTGGTGCTCAAACTGGGATCTTATGCGAATTGAAACTCGGAGCTTACCGATTTGGCTGGAGGGGTAATTGGTTGTTGCTCGCTGGTACATTATTCCACCACCCAATCAGTTTGTCCTCAACTCCCGATATAGAGAGGTGCCTGCTGTTGCTGGTGGCTGGAGCGGAATTGAGGGGGGTAATAAGGACTTCTTGTGTATATTCAGATAATAGAAGGGCTATTGGATGAAGGTCTGCTGGGTACGGCCGGCGAGGTGGAGAGGAGGGGAAAGAGGCTAGATAAGGTATCAATCATTGACAACAGGACAATGGAATAAGCTTTTGACGGTGAGGTATGGACAGGTAATTGAAATTACTGGTATCTTTGTCTATAGTATAGGTTGTTTTACATTGGCCGTTTCCTGACCGCCTTGTGCTTCTTCTTCTGCTGCCCGGGCCCATGCCGGAAGATGAACGCATCCTTGCCGTCCATGAGTCTGGCAATATAGTGATCCATAAAGTCCGCCCTATCCGGCTCAAGTTCCCACCTCTTCTTGAAATCTTCGTACACCTCCAATACCTTTTCGTTATTTGTACATTTCATGAAGGCCCGAAGCGCCCAAATCATGAGCCAGGTATCAAGTCTTAGACCCTGGACTTTATTGTCAATCGCCTCAAATAGCGCGGCCAAGACATTTTCAAGCCGGTCACCTGTCCAAGGAGAAAACGGAGATGCACCATACTTGCTGAATCCTTCGAAGATGGCGAGGAAGATGCTCCCGTGAACCGGCACGTCGAATTGTGGCATCTCGTCTAGAAACTGGGCAGTCTTGCTCAGGTTTCCCTTCGTGATAGCGAAATGCTTAATCAGGATGCGGTACGTTCGCATGTCAGGAGTCTCATGCGCGAGCTCCTGTAGCTGTGGGCGGAGCTCTGGTATCTTTTTGCTGACGCGTGCAAACATGGAATGAATATGGATGACGGCCTTATCCATTGACGGGTCCATCTGGGGTATCTTAGCAGCCGCCGAGTAGCTGTCCTTCATATACCCGTAAACCTTCAGGGCCGCGTCCTCATCCCCACATCTCAGGAAACTGGAGATGACGCAGTTGAGGACCACGGTGTCGACCATCTCCCCGGCTTCCACCAATTCCTTGTATGCAGCCCGGACGCCGTCGGGGTCTTCGCGGAGCCCAAAGAAGTGAATCAGGCTGACGTGGTGGAAGCGGTTGAAGCTATATCCGCGCTTCTTCATCTCCTCGTAGAGCATCTCGGCTAGTGCAAAGTTTCCAGCCTTGGACGCCGCATCAAATAGGATGTTGAAAGTGACAGCGTTCCCCTTCACACCAGACAGCTTTTCCATCTCCTTCCACAGCTGGAGAGCAGCCTCGGCTTCGGTGTCCGTGACTCTGCCGACATATCTGCTTGCTAGGGCCAGGGCATGGTTCCATTCGCTTTGTCGCAGAGCAATCCCGCAATCCTTCGCGTCACCGATGAGGGAGAAGTACCGAAGCATCGTCTGCGTCTCTTTCTTGATCGGGGTGCCGAATATCTTGAGTAAGCGATGGCGCAGCTTTGCTGGCATATGAATCATCCGAGGTTCCGGTAGCGCCGCGTATAGGCTGTGTATGGTGCCCAGATCAACCCTCGCTGGATATCTCATCTTGGTGCTTACAGCAGTGCCAAGCTTGGTGACCAACTGTCCTATGTCTTCATCGCCGCGTAGTGCTTCATGATATGAAGGGTACTGCTGGTCCTCTTTCCTCTCCGATATCGTGAGCGGAGTAGGCTCTGGTTGAGCGTATCTGTTCAGGTAGGGATCCCGGGCAAATTCCAGGTGTTCGTCCACTGTTCCAATATCCTCATGCTCCACGAAGCCAAGTAGGACGTTCTTGTCCTTCCGCATGACTACATGATGTGATCGACTAGCTGAGGTAACAGCGGAGGCGGCAACGTGGCTATATGATCGAGATCGTCCGCGGATGGCCGAGTTTGAGCTTGTCGGGGCACGAGGGCGAACAGAAGAGGGCGCCGGCAGAAAGGTCGACAGCAGCCATGAAGCTGTCCGAGGACACTGAGTACCCGGTGGGCGAGAGCATCGTGTGCGGTCCCTCTGGTGCTGAGACGCCGGCGCCCTCGAAGGTCTCTCGGTTCGGAGCTCTGGCCGGGAAGAAACTGCAGCTCGAGCTGCGCAGGGTCGAGTCGAGAGAATGGCACCGCATACGGACCCGTCTATCCGGCTAAGTACTTTCATGGGTTGTCGAGCATTGCGGCCAGGGCATCACCGTTCCATCGAAGAGCACGCGCTCACTGGCGAATAGCTTAATAAAATTGGCGTTTGGGAATCGTTGGTGAGCTGCCAGCTGCGTTACTAAAAGCTCCGGGATGATTGGGATGGGAATATTATTTCGCTGGTGAAGTGCATGGGTAGAGTGGGGCCGACCGCGATAGCCGGTGCCGGCGTTAGGATTGGCCGACGCTCCAAATTTCTGAGTTGCAGTTCGCGACGGACGGAGCTCATCACCTGCAGAGGCACCCCAGACAGGATCGAACAGTCGTGCCACATCCGCCTCGATCTCAATAGTGAGTCTCAATTGCCCGAAAGATGCAGCTTACCAGACATCTGACAAACTTGGCAGGTCAAGATGGGGCGACAGATCAGGCCTGCGCGGATCTACCAGACCGTGAGCCAGGAGCTCAACTCGAAAATCCTCCCAACGTATCCCGTCTATGAACCACCATGGTTCCAGGTCATGAGGGATATCCCCCCTTCCGAAATCATTACGAGGCCGGCTATCGTCAACACTCAGAACTCCAATCGCAAAAATCGCAAGCCTCAAGGCATCTACAAACCTCAACAGATCGTGCACGAGGAGGACTCCTTACGGAAGACGTTCTTCAGAGACCACCCTTGGGAATTGGCGCGCCCAAGAATGATTTTGGAAACAGATGGAAAGGATTATCAGAGATGCGACTGGTCTAAGGGTGTCCGCCAATACAGAACGCCTCTGACCGGTGAATGGTAAGCTAGCCCCGACTGTTCAGCTCCTCCCTCCCCTCGGAGCCACAACTAACAGACAGACAGCGTCGTCCAGCGCCAGCTTTGGCTCATGCACAACAAAAATTACCCGAGAGCAAAGGCATACGATATTGCAAGAAAGGAGTTCTACGCGCTGCGCCAGGAGGAGGAGATTGAGAAGCGCGTTGCCAGGGAGGAGGCGAGACACGTCGGAGCGTACTTTGGCAAGAACAGGTTGCAAATCGCACAGGACCTGGAGGACAAGGAATTTGAGGTCTGGAAGGGCTGGGCGAGCAACAGAGCTGTCATGATCGAGCAGGCGCGCACTGCCAGTTACGCCAACTTTGGTGAAGAGGCGACGGATGAGGTTGCTGTCGGGGCGGAGGCGGAGGCGGCGGCTTGAGCAGAGAGGCCCCGGGCCTTGTAAGTATATGTACTACAAAGATCTGTATAATACCAAAATTCCAGGTTCCTTCGACTGCGAATAGTTATTCGATGTGCCCATTTCTGTGCCTGGCCCTGTGAACAAATTATTGGGAAGAGTGCCGTGGCCGTTGTGGATTGATCTTCACGCTTCAAGATCAGTGGCTACAAGCTAGCTGGGTCGTAGGTTATCAGAATAAGCCGAATTTTTGCTTCCATCGAGTGAATTGAGCGTATGGTCCTGTATTGGTGAAAAAAGGCATGGGCCTATAGCTATATAATTTCTCCGATGCCAAGCATTCACCGACCTCCTTTTCTACCTAGGTCAGAAATGGTTGAGATATGACAAATTATCATATCTTCTTTCTCACAACCATACAACCTGCATTGGTCACGCCGTAGGTCTTGGCTACTTGCTCATGCTGAACCAACAAGATGTCGGCAATGCCAGTGTAATGAAACAGCTTCCCTGTCAGACTGAGGGTCTGAATTCTGGCCCACGACTCAACGTAGATGACCTGCATGGTGTCTTCTGGAACAACGTAGAGCATCTTGAGGAGGTATGCCGCTAGACCGACAATGAAGCCAGTGGCAGGGCCATTGGTGAGAATGATGTCGGGAAACTGCTGGCGACTTCTGGGGCCCTTGAAAGGAGAGGACAGCAGCAAGGGGAAGATCTCAGCCACCGACATCAGGGCGGTAAAGGGCGTTGTAAGTAGGCTCTGGTGAATCTTTCTGGCTCTCGCAACGATGTGTTTGTCAAATGTTCCCACTTGTCCCTCGCCGTGGGTAGTCCTGAGCTCGTCTTCAAAGGCATTCAGGTGTGTGAGTGACATTGAGTCGCCACTAGAGATGAGATAGCGTCGGTGCATGTCGGGGACGTTGGGAAAGCTGATCTCCATCATGGCTAGCATTTCCTTGGTGTGGCCACCTGAGCCCAAGACGACGAGGAAGTAAGCTCCTTTGAGCAAGCTGGGACTGGTGGACTTCTTCGCAGCGACATCAGACAGATGAATTGGTCGCTTTAAACGAGACTGCTGGATTTGAAGGTGGCGGGCCTACATAGTGTCAATATTGAGTGGGTTTCCAAAGACAAGTTGATCAATTACCGTGATAAAGACACTGCTGGAGATGACACCCAGAACTAGGGTTAAGAGTAGGGCCCTCCATGAGGACTTGAGAATGAGGCCTAGGCCAAGGACACAGAAAGCAGACGCAATACCGATCAGAGTAGATGCAGCCGCCATATTGTCATGTTATAATGAGACCTTTAATCTTGTTCAATTGCCATTTCCCATCAGTGCGTGGTGTTGTTGCGATTATTCAACCTGTTGAAATTGATGTATCAGTAATGTGTTCTGATAAAATGAACAAATATTACTCACAGCTTTGCGTCTTATGAGACAACGTTTAGAACGTCGATCTTCGACGGCTAATCGGCTGCAATAATAACCAAGTAAGTGATTTCCCTATTGAAAGACCAAATCTCGCTTCATCGACGAGATATCAAAAGCCCTTCAGTCTTGATGCGAGTGGCTTTCAAGTGGATATAAGTGCACCGCTGGCAGTGACTGAAGCTGTCACTGGAGACTTGTGGGGACCCTGTGTGATAGATCCAATTGGAGCAGCGGTGCTCCAAGCTTCCGCCTTGTGCCGGGCTTCAGAAGGTACTCCGTACCTCAGTGTAGGTAATCCGCTAGGGGGCTCCTGACAGAAAAAGCGGATGACCTCATGTTCCTGCTGGGACTTGAAGACCCCTGCGACTTCCCCTGCTTTCTCCCAGGAATACGTGCAGACCGCCCGGCAGAATCTCGAAAGTTCCGGGCTACAACAATATTGACGAAAGACATACCGTCAACCTGCATAAATGCTATGTATGGCCCGAGGAGCCTCGAACCTCAAAGCGCAATGGCAAACTTGAGAAGCGGCAGGCTGCTGACCTGTTTTTACTGCGGCAAACGGTCATCAACAAGATACGATGGCCTGATTTCGGAATTTCTCTGCCTAAAATGCGACGCGACAAACTATCTGGACGAGGTGAGTAAACTAACCCACGGCACAAAGCAAGTCGCGATTCCATCTGACAGTAACCTAGCGCGGAGACATCACCGATCCTCCAGTAGCCAAGACCACCTCAGCGCCTGCTGCGACGACGTACGCGATACCGCGATCTCAGTCCCCCGACTTCAGTACTCCATCACAGAGCATTTTCTGCCCGACATGTCTCAAGAACCAGCATCTGTTCACCAGCTCCCTGGCACAATACCTGCCTGAAGACCCAGACCACCCCGACTATGCCGAGCTCGAGAGAAATATGTACAAGTTCCGTCGACGACTCGAACAGCGATACCCTCAGATATGCGCCCAGTGCGAGCCCAAAGTTCAAGCTCAGCTGGATCAGGCCGGCTACACGGCGCGGACCGACCATCTACGACGCATGATGGATAGGAGCAGGAAAGTCAGGGTCGCTCCAAAGCAATTAACCTCGCTAGATATTGCGGCTAAGGTGGGAAAGTGGCTCTGGTTTGGTGGTATATCTTGCCAATACCTGTGGCATGTCGCATCCTTGGCTGCTGTCTTTGCGACGCAATATGATGAAGGGCCAATGCGAGACCCAGACGCGGATGCCGAAAGCACAATGGTACAGAGACTTTCACTTGCTCTTACACTGCTTCTTCCTCGGCCTGAGAGACTGATACACTGGAGTCTATGGACCAATGCTGTGAGCATCTGGTGGAACCCGAAATTCGTTCAGGTCTTCCGTGGCTTCTCTCGTCATATCCTGGGCTTGTCACACTGGTACACCTTTCAGGGGCTCATCATCTTCACTCGATTTCTTGCCATGAGAATGACCGAAATGAAAGGCGGGCGATCAGCTGAAGGAAGTGCCCAGATGAGCCTCCATGGACTGATGGCTGTGTTGATGCTAGCTGTGAGTGACACAAATTACGATCTCCCGAAGGCGCTGCTGACTCGATGCTGCAGATATACATACTTGCCCAACGATCCGTACGTGTCGACATGACACCGCTATTCCAGAACACCGGAACACCAGCTGCGTCACCACCAAGACCGCAAACGGCGCAAGCTCGAGAGGACGACAACAAGAACATGGCGAATCTTCTGGACGACATTCTAGCCGAGTCCAGCCCGAGGCCAGGGATTCCTCCAAGTCCAACGAGCGTTGGCTCAGCATCACCAGCACTCTTCCAGCGGGAATTGCAGCACAGATCGAGCAACCGGGATATTGGCATCAACACTCCGCAAAAGCTGCCTCAGCCCCAGTATTCGGAGGAAATGGATTGGTCTCCGACACAATCCAAACACCGGGCCTTCAACGACTTTGGACCTCCAAAGGCACCGAACCAGGTGTTTGGGCAACCTGATTCAGGCCCCAACTCGAGCCCGTTCTGGTACAAGGTTCCTCCCGCGCCGATAACACCGGCGCAAAAGCTTCGCAACGGTCCCAAGGTGTTGACGAAACCGGTGGAGAAAAAGTCAATCTTCACAACCGGCAGGACGGATGCGTCCAAATCGCGGGGCGAGGACGCGAGCAGCGACACGGGCAAGGTGGCATTTGCGCAACCCACGTTCTTCGCGCCCTCGGCAATGTCGAACCCCAGTGATCCACGCAGCTCCTTGGCCGATCTGCTCAATTCGAGTTTCACGCTGAGCCTAGACGACGATGAAGAAGAGGGAGAGACGTCGGCGGCAACGAAGACGGAAACAGGAAATAAGTACGCCGAGCTTGCGAACCCCGGACCTTCGGCACGAACGGCTGGTCTGCGTAACAATCGCTTACTGGACGTTTTCACCTTGGCGATCCTCCTCGGCGCGTGGCTCCATGCGACATCTGCGTCATACCCGTATAGCCGGGACGTAATGTTTGGCGCCATGCTCCTGAGCATGGCCATTGCCATTCACCTCACCAGCGACGCAATCAGGGACATGCGCAACGAGAATACGCCCAGCTTGGCGTCCATTATCAACACGTCGCTCGGGATAGGAGAGCTGGCGGTGGCATGTCACTTTGCGCTCCAAATATGGGGTGATCGGACGCCGACGCCCGGATTGCACGGCGCGTCGGTCATTGGAGCGATACTCGCGCATGAGATGTGGAATGCTGCTTGCTAGAGAGCATCCGTATATCCCGTTGGCCCCCGTCGGGTGTTGTGGAGAAAGAGACAACAAGACACCAAAAGAAACACATGAGATGAGTAACACGAAGCTTTGATTGGCATTGTTCAACGGCGTTTATCGGAATTTGGGTATAAGGCTGCATAAGGGGCACACAGGAGATTCATTGCCTGGGCGACCACTAGGGTACACCAACGGAGAAGAGAGTAGAGAGAGGTTCATGGACTTGACGTCTTTGCGCCCTTTGGTTTTTGGGGTTTACGGGTAGGCAGCTGCGTCGTTGAATAGTTAGACAATGGTATATCGACGATGTCGAACGGTGTTACGGCGGCCCCAGTGGTCCAAGTCCAGCGAACTCTGGCGGGACCGGGGGCGGAGTGGAGGGCTTTGGGAAAAAATGAGAATTACCGATCATGCATACTACCGCCGTTCCACGCGATTTTCCTCTCTCTTTTCCCCGGCTCGCCCTCGCTCTCGGGTCCTCTGATCCATAGTCTCCTCTCTGAGAAACCAAACTTGTTAGCCTCGATGCGAGTGTGCGAGTACCTACTTAATGGTGTGGTCCAGCTGTGCGTTTGGCACCCGCTAGTCTGCGTATTAGTGGTACGACGGGCTCTGTTTGCTTTCGGTCGAGCCGGGGCACCGTTAGGAAATACAAGTACTCCGTACAAGGTCGCGGCTGAGTGAGCCGGACGAAATATCGAATCAACTGCCCGTTGTATGGCTGGGCCTGCCATGGAATCCTCCGAGGTAGACCGACGCTACGGGCCCGGTGTACGCTAGAAGTATAGAGAGTTATTGCTAACCTTGCTACGCGTATGCTACGATGCTGTTCCGAGCTAGATCGTGGTGCTTGATGGCCAGATGGGTGAGTGCTAGCACACGCCAGAGGCGCCGCCATGGCGTCGTTCATCGCATGGCCTGGGCTCGTCTGCATGCCTTCGATGCTGTGATTTCATAACGCTGCTTTGTGTTCGTGGATCGCGGGGTTTACCCTCATAGCATCATCTGTCAAGTTTTCATCGTAGAGAATCGGTTCCACTAGTTTACGGTCGGTCGTGGGAAACAAGCACGACAAGATGCCCAGGATCTTGTTCGACATCTCACTCTTTTTGGGTCTTTGGGATAGTGACCCGAAATTGTGAGGCCCGGATCCCTGATGACAGGAGCAAATTCAAAGTACCTGAAGTTGATGCGAAAGAGTCTTGGAAGATAACAAGTGATGATAAATCCAGGTGAGTCTCCGCCCGCCGGTGGGACGGACGTAAGTAACCCGCTCGTTCGCGAGGTTACCAAACTTAACACCGAGATGGTAACGGGGAATCATCCCGGTCAGCCTCATCGAGAAAATCTGACAGGCATCTGCCGCTCGGTGCCGAAAAAGGCGAATGTGGCCGGCCTACGAGATACGGGTACCAGGACCCTAGCCAAAATCATTGTTCGGTGAGTAATAACAGCTTAGTCTCCACTCAGCAGGATTCGAGCAGTGCTATCTCTCTCCGTGCTGCGTGATAAAGTTGTACTCCAGTATGAGTACGGATACTCGCCCTCTCACAACCGTGGTCCGTCATAAGTTTACCAGAAGCACTAAGTAGTACGCATTTGCAGTAAGCTTTGTGATCGCTAATGGGTACTTTTTTGTGCGATGCTCGTAGGGCAACTCCAGACATGCCGGTATTTCCGGGTGGCTACCGGGTAATGGGGATAATCAGATAATCATCGTGGGCCGCAAGGTAAGGCTTTCCTTGATTTTGGGCTGGGTATGGCACCAGCTAGCGTCACCAGTACCGTGATAAAGGCGACTCAAGGCCCCAATGCTTCGAGTTGTGATGAAGAGTGAGGTAATGCCGTCACTTTGGCAGCCTGGCTGAGACGGAATTGGCTGGTTCGAGGGTTGGAGACAGGTAGTGTTTGCTTTTCCCCTTCTCTCTTTTGCGTCATGCCAGCAAGTAAATAGGTACACCGAGGTACCTTACGTCGCTTACCTCGCTATAGTTACCAGGAAGTCGGTACACACAGTATAGAACCCTTGCGTGGGATTCCGTACGGCTTACACAGCCTGCCAGCCTCTGCTGAAGCCACAGATGTTTGCACCAATGTAAGTCGCATGCCACGCTCGGTCGAACCTGTGCGGGAGTCGACTGTTTTGGGCGGTGTCCGTACCAAAGGGGCATATGACGTACTGAATGGATTGTCACTGCGAAGCGAGTGACAGAATGCGACAGTCTGGAATGGTGATCAAGCAACCAGAAGAACCCCATGTCTTCATCAGCTATTCCCTGTGAGATATTAGGTATGCGTCTTCGGTAAGTTGGTTCATCGTACTGTCGAATACAATAAGTTGCGTGGAATGAAGTGAGGTCAGCGAGATTCGAGGCGGGGGTGGGACTGGAATGCTGGTTTGTCCAGGAGTTCAGTTAGAGTCTCCGTAGTCGTCTGTGTAGCGAACTTTGGCACGTCTTTCCGGCGGTTGCGGGATGACTCCAACAGAATAGAGTCACGTTGACAGTTGCGAAGATCAGTCATCGAGCTTCCGTATGTCGTGGGCGCTCGATCGACGCAAGACGAGGCTGTTCGTATGTGGCTGGGTGACGCCGTCCGAAGACCCCCGCGTCCGCCGTCCGCGTGAGTTCCCCTACTGGCCATGACATGGCACGACAGGACGCAAGAGGAACAGTGGCCTCGAGTCGGGGCGATGCAGACGATGCAGGGCGCCTGTCTCGGAAGGCCAACCACTGCTGGACACCACCCATTCAGCATAAGTCGAGCACTACCTACTTTTGTTGATCGCTGATCGTCCATGGATGGGCGTATTGCGAGAGAAAGTTATTTGGAGAATCCCTGCTTGAGTCTTCCCTCTCACTGGTCCAGTGGTTGTAGTCCATAACACACGGTTTATGTAAATGCAGCTCGACCGGCGGACTGTCATGAAGGGGACCAGTAAGGTTTCGAGCAAATGTTCCCCCAAGATGCGACTCTAATCGAGACTGGCAAAGTCTGGGGAAAAGTTGATGGTTGGTGTCCTGTTGATCCCAGCATTCGCGTTGCGAGCAATAGCAACTGTACTCCGTACCAGTCGTGCCAGTGCGAGGTACAACCGTTGATAGCCTGGACGAACGCGCATCGCTTTATCGGTCGGGTTTGAAGGCAATCCGCCACTCGCGGAAGACGGGAAGAGGAGATCACCGATCATATCAAGTTTTGGGTTGAAATTGGTAGAGAGGTCCAACCGCGGGTTGGCGCTGAATCTCTGTAACTGATCGGTGTCTGTCGAGTCTGTCTGTCAAAGTGGTGCACTGGTGCTGCCACAAGAAGACGCATCGACCGGTGCCCGCCGCCTTCCCTTTTGCCTCGTCGCCCTGGTGCGCCCCGTGGCTGAGAGTTGCCGATCATCTGTGGCTGCTGCGTCAGCGCTCAGATCATCGGAGGGTTTTCTTTCTTCTCGCTATGCGTGCTCCGTACGGACCGCTCGCTGTTTTGCTGTTTTGCTGGTCTCTGCGCTTTCCTTTCCCTTTCTGTTGGCTGGTCCCTGATCGCTTGGCGGTCTGCCACAGTTGTCACAAGTTTGTTGTCGCCCCTTTTGGGACTTCGCTGTTGAAAGCAGCCCGAGACAGCTCACCCAGCCATCGTGGCATACCTTTACAGGCTTGCTATGGGGCTGGAGGATGTTGATGTTTCGTTGCGCGGCCAGCGAGTGTACATCTTGCCAGGTTGATGCGAGTTATGATGATGTTGTGGATTTGTGATTGTTATACCAAACTCCAAGGAAGAGACGGTCGTGCAAATTAATGGGAGTTAGGTTGCTGGATTGAATACCTACGGAGTATTGAGGTACGTATCCCGCACTTCGCATCAAAAAGGTGCTAAGAATATCATGCCTGAGGGTTGAGCTTAGGTAGGTTCCACGGGAAAGAGGAGTGAAGGTACGTATCGCCACAAGTATCCGTACCTCCCCTTCTCCGTCCATTCGCACCTTCCATCGCGTCAGAATACGTACCCAGTCCCCCAAACAACGGTCTCTCTGCTTCTCTCCAGCTTGGCTGCCGGGGGTAAAGGTAGGGTCAAAGTAGTATGTCAAGCAGAGGTTGATTCTTCTAGGTAATATGGGCAAAAGCCCCTAATATAGGCCGCAGCCCCTATATATAGTTATAGCTAGTTACTACTAGTTATAGTATATAGCTTATAGCTATATAGTATAATAACCTACCTCTTAATTAAAATTTTATAACGTTCTCGTTACTTATATTCCCTCTTTAATATACGGAGTAATATTTAATTATTTTTTCTACATATAACGCTATTATAATCGTTATAAATATATCCTCTAAAAAATTTTATAATAGTCGTAATTATTATACTTAATAATATAATACTTTAATAATAAGTTACTAAGTTATCCTTATAATTTAGTATTAAGATTGCGGAGTACCTTTTTATAAATTATTTTTTACTCGTTATTTAGAATTTTAATATTAGTTATTTTTATTATATAGTCTATTTCTTTTTATTATCCTCTTTTTTATATCTTTTATTAAAAAAAGATTATTTTTACCCTATTATTTATCGTCGTTTTAATAGTAATTTTTTATATAAACTTATAAAATTCTTTATCGTTTTCTTAGACTAAGGTTATATTATATTATAAAATTATATCCCTAGGCTTCTCCTTTTTTATTAGTAGTTATTTTAATTATTTTAAAAATAAGTATTAAGGCCTAAAAGTTGTAATAATAGTTCGAGGTATTAGTTTCTATTATTTATAAGCGGTAAGAAGCGCGTTTAGTATATTATCGTATTTAAGTTTTATAAAATTATAAATAATAAGGTATTATAATAACTTAATTTAGTTAGAATAGTTGCGCTAATTTTTTAATAAGTTAAAGCTATATAAATATATTATTATTATAATTTTTTTAGCTATTACTTTTTTTTTAGTAATTTTATATAAAGCTTTGTATATAGGATATAATAATAAGTTACTTTTTTTCTAGCTATTTATAAGTATTTAATAAAAAGTCGTTATAACTAAAATTTTTTTAAATTTTAAGAATATAATATTATCTAAGTCGTTATTAAAAAATATTATAGCGTAATATAGGCTATTATAATTCTTTTTATATAGCCGACCTCGTAATATTAGCTTAAAAAGTAAGTAATATTATTTAAGTATTATCTTATTTAGAATAAATATATTTAAATTAATCTTAATTAGTCGTACTAGGGAATCGTTAAGAATTAGCTTTAGGGATATAAGTATTTTTTTTAATAGATCGCCCTTAGGAAGATTTTTTTATAATATTACTATTTTTTACTTCTTATTATTTATATTTTTTATTCCCTTAGTTTTACGTTTTTTTTTTATTATTAATTTCTTATTAAATAGAACGCTATTATTAAATTCTCCTTTTTTAAACTCTTCGTTACTAGTCCCCTTTTTAACTTTTAAAAAATTATTATTATTATTTAATAATAACTTCTTACTATTAGCTTTATTATTCTTACTTTTTAATTTTATAAATAATACGTTATTAATTATAATCGGGGTTTGAACTATTATCTTTTTTAACTAAGATAATAACTTCCCGTTTATTTAATTTTAAATTTTTTAAATAGTATTATTTAGCGTCGCGGATAGTTAAATATCGGATATTTTAAGTTTTTAAAAAGGTAAGTTTATAATAAGTAGGTTATATATAATAAATAAACTAATAAAGCCCCTACGTCTCGTTTTAAATCCGAGGTCTTCTTTATTTACTAAGTCGTCGTCCTCGTTTTTTATTTTAAGTAGTCCGTTATTCTTATTTTTAATAACTAGTAGGTATTATAATAATTTAAAAATATTTATATAATCGATATTAGGGATTACTAAATTATCGGGATTATTAATAAACTTTTAATTAGTATTTTTTTTATTATATACCTAACTAGCTAAATCGGTAAAACTATTATTGATCTTACCTAGTTATACTATCTTAATATAAATATATAAAGGAAAAAAAAAAGTATAGTTAAAGTAAGTAGAAATAAGGTTTAAATAGCTAGTTATAAGTGATATAGAGTTAAGATCGAATAATAAGTTCGATTTTTAGCTTTAAATAAGTACTTAAAATTAGGAATAGTTAATACTATCCTCTATTGTAAAAAAGAATTATTATTTAGCTATATTAAATATTCTTCTTCTTATAGTAGTAAATACCTCGTAATAATAATTTTATAAAGAAATTCTAACTACTATTTATATTATTTACCTAGTCCCTCTAATTATAATAAAAACTATAATCTATTCCTATTTTACTAAACGTCGATAATTTTCTTTAGTAAATTAGTAAGTAAAATTACTATTAGTATCGGTAGTACTCGTCTATAAATATTAAGTAGTAATACTAGTTCTAAGTAGTTAACTAAAATTACGTTATATATTTTTACGTATTAAAATAAGTCGAGCTTATATATAAGTCGTCCGACTCGTTTAAGGATTATAAAAGGCCTAGTATATTATTATAAGTATTTCTTTTTTAGTACCGTTAATTATAATATATTATAACCGTAATATAGTCTTAGTATAATACGTTATTTAACTTTAAAAAATTTAATAAAGCGCTTTTAGTCGTAATATAATTTTATCTAAACGGCTACGATAGTAATAGCGTCGTATATTTTAAGTCGTATTTTTAGTCTAGTTAGTAGTTTATTTATTATATCTATAACTACGTTAATAATATTATTAAAAGTAAATCCTAAAATAATTTTATTAAGTAACTTAGTTATTATAACTAATTTATTATTATTAATTTCGAATTATAGTTAGGGAATACTATCGGGCTATCGGTCTAGGGATTTTAATAATATAAAGTATATTCGTAGCGCCGACTTAATTATAAAATTTATTTATTTATTTTAGCCGTTAGTTTAGGGATAGTAAGTTACTAAATATAATAGTTTATTACTATATTTATTTTATATATATTTTTATATTATAAAAAAGAACTTAGGGTCTTTATTACTTAGGATTACTTTTAGTAATCCCTAGTTATAGTACTATAAGAAGTCTATTAATAACGTTACCTATTCCTTTATTATTATCGTTTTATACCTAAATATTAAACTAATCTATTTAAATATTTTATTAATTATTAATAAGATATAGTTATATCTTTCTCTTGAGGTTAGTAATCCTAAAATAAAATCGATAGTAATTATATAATAAGGATATAGTAACGGTATAATAAGTTATATACTACTATATAGTTAGTATATTTTAAGTTTTATTATTAAATAAGTCGGGTAACTTTAAATATAACGCTTTAAATTCTGTATAAGTCGTAGTATATAATATTTAGATAGTATCATAGCTATTTTATTATAACCTATATAGTTTCTTTTATAAGCTATTTCGAAAATATTAGTATAATATATTTAAGGGATATATAATTAGTTATATATATTATATATTACTTTTTATAATAGTCCCTTATATAAAAAAAATAATAATTCGGCGCGGTTCTCCTTAAGTAGTATTATATTATTACGGACTATTTTAATAATAGATTTAAAAACTAGGTCTATATTATAACCCTATTAAATTTTCTTTTTAAAACTCGGTACTATTTCGAAAAGAATTATATTTATACTATTTTACGTCGTTAGTAATATAATATCGTTTCTTAATTATTAATCGTTAATTATATATATTAGTAATAAACTAATTTATATAGTACGGGTATTATTAGCTAAGAAAACTAATTATATTTATATCTATATTACCTAATTATTTAGTACGTTATTTAATAAAACGTCTATATTACGGCTAGCTAGTCGTAATAAGTATATTAATAAAAGTTAAGGCTACGAATACTAAATAAATAATATTATAGTTATAAATAGCTTCTCTAAAGCTATATTTATAAGTTATAAAGTAAGTAAGGCTTTAGTAATTAATTATAGTCTTATTAAAAAAAGTTCTTAATAAAAATAGCTAAAAGCGATTATAAAATTTAATACTAAGTTAATTATTAAAAAAGCTATGGGAAGTCTATCCTTAAGCCCGGCTTAAATCTATATTATATATAAGTCTCGTTCTTAAATATATCCTTTATAATATTCTTATTTATTATTATTTAACTATTTATTAAACGGTCGTCCGTCCTACTTATTTACGATCGTCCGTCCTACTTATTTATAAGTATCCGTTCTTTATCTTATTATATAATCGTAATTACGTAACTTATTTATAATTCTTTTATTTTAAAAGGAGTTACCCTAAGTCCGTACTTTTATATATATAATATAATAGCCGCTATAAGTCCCGTAGGGCGGGGCCCTAGCCTTACTATACGTATTAAGTTATAATATTAGCTTCTCTTCTTAAAAATCTAGTCCTCTAGGCTTATAAATAAGTCGTCTATTCCTAAGTTAGGGAATCATTAAGTATTTTTTTAAAATATACTAATACGATATTAAGTTAAATTAAAAAATCGAAATCTTTAATAGCTACGTTTCGTTATAAATTATTATATATTATTCGCTTTTTTAATAAAAACGTAAAAATAATACCTTATTTAAATTATTACTTGCGAGGGGTCCGTTATTTAGTTTTTTTTAATTTTAAAGTTTATAAAATATACTAT